TACAATATTTTTTATCTGAAATATTAAATAATATTATCATGCTTTAATTGACCAAAAACCAATTGTGTATTAATACTGTGATACCCTTTTCTATTAATATATACATGTTCTGGATAAATAGGCTCGTCAGACTTAGGTAGTACAATGGCAATATGAGTCCCATCAATGACACCAACGACTCCAGGTATTCTAAATTTTTCATTAAACCTTAGCATTAAAATTAATATAAGTATAATAAGGGTTATAATATTAGGATTTTTAAAAACATTTTTTACCCTAAACGAACTTCTTTGAGTTCATCAATAGTACTCGGAAAATGTATATATTTATTAAGTATTTCTGGAACATTTAAAGCATTAGCTACTTCAGTAATGCATCTACTAACTGAAGCTTGACTTACATCAGCACCTCTGTGTTCCCCTATATCTTGCTGGTAACTTCCACTTGCAAAAAATCTGAGAGCTGTTAATAACTAGCAAAAAAATAAAATAAAAAATATTAAATCAATTAAAAATAAATTTTAAATTTGTATGTACCTATTATTTTCTATTACTAACCTTTCTTTGAATACTTAGTCCAGCAATTGTTGACGGACTTGACATGAAAGGACTTAACTCATCCGTTAACTTTTGTACAAGCACCTTACTTAAACGATAAGTACCAATAAACTGTTGTTCAGAGAATGCTAAAAAATTAAATGTATATAATGATCGATAATTTTTGGAAAGCAATTATATATTTGTTTATAACTAAATATATATATATAAAATAAAAACTTACCAAAAGGATCTTCTTGTTTCATAACTCGTCTTACTTCATTAGTAATATTAATTTCATTTTGAATTTCTAATTCATTAATTTGCATTATATTGTAAATCTCAAAATCGTCATCAAATGCCATGATAAATATTTAAACATTCATTCTCGTTCGCGAACTATACTCTTTTAATTATTAATTATAGATTATAGTACTAAATACGATACAAGTACGAACAATAAATTGAAAAAACTGATAAATTAGTTGATTACAGTGAAAATTGTGTGTCGAAAACAGTTTTCGACACCAAATTCACTATCGTTGTATATTGTCGAATATTCCTATCGAACTAATGATCGAAAGTGGTTTGAGAACAGTATTTTTGTTATCAATCGAAATCAAAGTTGTTTTCGATCAACTATTGATCGAAAGCGTGGTTCGATACGTTTGAGAATAGACCTCCAGATATTATATAATATAAATGTGTAATAATATTATTTTAAGTAGAAATATAGACGTTAATTAAATGAATGTCTATGGTGCAGTTCCACGTTGCTCTCAACCGACTTGTGGGCCAAGGCATATGGGTTGGGAACTACTGCTGTATATAATTAATTTTTTAAATTATCAATTATGGTTAAAGACAAACGATTTTAATTTATGCTGGAACTTCCGTGTGTTAAAAACACATAGTTACTTTTCAAAAATTAATGGAAAAAATCCACATTGAGGAAATTTATATTTGAATTAAATTAATTAATATTTTTTAAATTAATTGTGTTGGGCTAAGAAATTAGATGTTATGTTGCATCACCCTCATAATAATAAGTCATTTCACTATGCTGTAACATATTGATGGAAAAAAAAAATTGTTTTGATGTTTTCGAAGACTAGAAAACACTGACTTCTTGGCCGGAATCGATTACAATATGGACTATAGTAAGTCACGTGCGCCGATTTTTTGCCCACCTATACTGGATACAAAGTTAGTTTACTCTTGGAATTGGTTAATTGGTAACATACTGCCGATTGCATTTTCATGAACTGGATATTAGGAGGCACTCATGCCATTAATATATTACTATACATTTTATATTTTTTTACGTTTTTATTTTTCTCTTATTATCGACAGTCGACGATGAATTTTAATTGACGAGGGATTTCGGTAATTTTCTATCAGAGGTTAAAATAATAAAACAATTATCTGCGAATACCAGTATGTATTATTCAATAATATTAAGTAGTATTATCTGGTGAAAGTTAACGTGATTACATTTTATATTATTTTTAATTAATTATATTATCTATTAAAGGGTACATGGAGAAAAATCTCCATGTGGTGTACTCCAGGCAACGCTATATAATCAAAAATGAAGGGAATGAAGTTTGTTGTGATATGACCACACAGGAAGAATGGAAGTGCAATATTCGTATAAACCTCAATAGAGATTATGTTAAGCCAAATAACAGAAATAGGTGATATCGAAATCTTCACTGTAGAAGTAGAGAAATATACTGGGACCTCAATTTATAAACCTTCAAATTTCACATTTGCGTTTGAGAAACCAGAAAATGTTGACACTAGAAATAAACATATTATCATAGGAGATTTTAATATTCACCATATTAACTGGAGCTATAAAAAAACTGATATTAATGGCCATCAAGTCGAGGTTTGGGTAGAGTCCAACAGGATGATACTTATCCATGATCCAAAATTGCCACCATCGAATGCTGTTGAATAACAGCGGTAAATGAAAAAAGGTTATAATCTCTACATAATATTTGTAAGTGACACGATCGTTCATTGTATAAAAGAAATCTAACCCATAACACACATGTAACATCGATTCATACTGTGCGAAGTTATGACAGTAATCAAACTTGGTGACACTCCATTTAGAAGGAGATATAACTTCAAAAAAGCAAATTGGAGCACCTTCACGAAAGACCTAGATGCTGCTGTAATTGCACTCGAATCAGTAAACGAAAACTATATAGCTTTTATAAAGTTAGTCAAAATCATCTCCAGAAAAATCATACCAATAATCAGTCGAGTAAAATATAAGACAGGGCTAACATCTGAGTTAGTAGTAGAAACATTAGAACAATACATCGATAGATGTAAGACCAATCCATTTGAGGAGAACACGATAGAAAAGGGAGAGGAATTAATTAAGTTACTAACTGACAGTGGCGTAGCAGAAGTATAGCGAACTGTGTCTACGCCAGAGGCGCGAATTGCAAAGGTGCGCAAAATTGTTTAAAATTTGTATTTTTGTCCTACTAATAAATCGAAATTTTTCCGTTATACTTTTTTAAATACGTAGATGCTGTATATTTGTGCACACGAAGTGTGCATTTAATGATGAAATTATGAAAATAGCATGAGGGCATTTAAATAAAAATTTCAAATGAAGAAATAAAGTCATGAAGTAATAAAGCGAGAAAAGCAAATTTTCAAAGATTAAAATTAACACTGTAGTAATAACTTATAAATATAAATTGTATACTCATAACATCAAATTTTTATTGGTAAAAAAACGCTTTTTTCTAAGTTTGCCAGGAGCGCTAGCTAGTCTTCTTATGCCACTGCTAACTGAAGAAAAAAGGAAACGTTGGCAAGACTTATTAACAGAGGTAGATATGTCAAGGAGTAGTAATACGTTAGTAGGTTACATCGTTACTACATTAGTAAATAAATTGTGTTTAAAAAATTAATAAAAATGTCAGGGACTGAATATAAAAATAATAATACATAATTATAGCGTAATACAAAATCATATAGTATATCATAAATTTAAAGACTACTAATATACTATACTTTTTATTAATTTTTGGTATTTTTAGAAATAAAACTCTGTGTTTAGGTTATGCAGATGCGCACGTATACAGTGTATATATGTTAATCGAAGTGTTGGGTAGTAACGTAACGGAAAGTAACGCGTTACTACAACGCCGTTACTTTTATAGTAGGTAAATGTGTTATGTAATTTAATTACGATTTTTACTGTGCAACGAAACAGTAATGGAAATTATTTTATATGAGTATTTTCTCTAATAAAACGCGTTATCATTAGATATCTCAAATCCAACAAATTTTTCAACAAAAATATATTTGTTCCGCATTATGTTTCACTGTATAGATTAAAGATAAAATTGTACTAATGAATGTATACGTACAATTTTCCTTTCAATTGTAATTTGAAAGTAAAGTAAACTGTAATTTCATTACATTTAAGTAATGAGTAACGAGTGATGCACCATAGATCTATTAAAGTAATTAACCCAACACTAAAACTTTTTTTTTATAGTAAATCAATATAGTAATCCGTTTTATCACAGAACGTATGATAACAATACCGCGTGATAACCGCCGCCACGTTATCACGTCTTGTGTCGGTAACTTACTGATAAGCGTTACGTAATTTCGGAAGATAAGTATTTCAAATCCAATATAAGTACTTTTGTCCGGTTCGATGTCACCGCGTCGCCGATAGTCCGTCGACTTACTATCGTCTATAGTATTTACAACAAAAGTGCTAATACATAATTTTGTTAGTAATGTCGATGAAGGAAGCATTCAAGCCTAAAAGCTTAAAGATATCTTCAACGTTCATCGATGCTGACGGCAGAGAAAAACAGGTACTTAATTCGATAAGGATTCCTAATGTTCTCAACAATCTGAACGTAAAGCGAACAATCGTTATGTTGAAGATTGATTTATAAAAAGCTTTTTTTGTCACATTAACAACATGGATGTTCTTCTCTTCTTCCTATCTATACTTGCTCATCTTTCAGTTATATCACTCCTGACGCTAATCTCCTTAACTCTCGCTCCATTCCTATCGTCTAATACATTATTAACTTCATTAATTCTTCTGGTTTTTTAATTTAACCTGTTAGTTTTATTTATATGTAATTGTCTTATTTATGTTTACCTAATTGCTTTGTTGTAATATTATAAACAAAAGCAAAATAAAATTAAAAAAAAAATCATTAAGACTTTGATATTTTTTTATTTATAATATTGTTAATTGCGGTTTCAGATTGAAACTAGGGAAGATGAAGAACAGTTGCAGAAATTACAAGAAATAATTGATTTGTTGATTGCAGCTGGTTACTTTCGAGCTAGAATCAAAGGTCTATCTCCATTTGACAAAGTATGAATGATGATTATGTTGACAAGATCTAAATCACGTATTAATGTTTTATATTTACATAGATTGTTGGAGGTCTTACATGGTGCATAGATAACTGTAATGTTGATTTGGATATTGATCTACATTTTGATGAATCTTTGGTCATTGGACAAAAAATGTAAGTTTTAAATGATTTACTACCCTTTTTATAGTTAATTTGTGACTAATATTACTATCACTATTATAGCACTTACCGAAAAAATAGTATCTGTTCTACCAAAAATGAAGTGTCCATATCAGGTTGAACCACATCAAATTCAAGGCTTGGATTGTATTCATATTTTTCCTGTTGTTCAAGTAATTTTAATTAATAAAAAATATAAACAGTTATGTTAAGATTCTTAATTAGTAAAAAAAAATATTATTATAAATTATTAAATATTTCTAATAAGAACATTAAAAATAAAATTAGAGGCAAATGAAAGTTCTTATACATATTATTATTATATTTTGATAAATCTAGTTAATATTTAAAATTTAATACATTGTTTTGTTATTTTTAATTACATTAATACTTAATTATTAATATAATTAATTAGCACTGCACCAGAGAATTATTATATATTTTATATTAATTTTTTATCTTTATTTCTATTTTTTTTTTTTTTTTTTAGTGGTTAATAAAGCGTTCTATTGAAAAAAGGAAAGAAAAAGGCGAATTTTTGATGTTTTATGCTGCTAATCAGTTTGATAAGTTAATTTGTTCTAAAAATATCACGGAAAGTGAACCTAAACGCAAAGAAAAATGTGGTCATCTCAAAGTAAGTGATTTCATAAATTGTGTATTCGTGATTACATTTTTGTTTAAAATCTTTTTTAAATTGATGACTTCATTTATAGAATAAATTTTAAATTGTATGTGTACATTTGTTTTAGAAATGTTTAACAGGCAATAGAAAAACAAATAAATCTTTTCATAAAGAACAGAGAATAATGGAATATATTGACGATTCATCTGATTCTGAAGATCTGGAAACTAATGAATGGTTTATTAAAAAAGAATTTGATCCTCAGGACTTTAATGAAGTAATGATAGTTAGAATTTAGTTATACATTTATATTCTGCTTTTTTTGGGTTATCTGATCACTAGGACCAAACCGTCTCTCATCAAATCCACCAACCATCTCTATCCATTATCAAATCTTTTCAGTTTGTTCTGTCTCTCAATTCTTCTATACATCTCTCATCTTAATTATCTTCCTATCTCAATTTTGGTTATTTTGGTTTTCCCAAGTTATATGTTTAAAAAAATATTTATTTTAATTCAATTTTTTTAGGTTGTGATGACTGATGAAGAGAAAATTATCAAGTTACAAGAAGAAAAACAAAAATTAATAGAAGAATTAGCACAAGCGCAAGAAGAGACCAAGAAAATTGAAAATGAAATAAAAGAAAAATCTTTTCATACTAGTAATATGGAAGAGGATAAAAGACTGTAAGATATATTAATACTAAGTTTTTGATTAATATAGAAATTGTATTAATCAAACCCAAATATAATAAAAAATTTGTTATTTATTTTATATTGTTTATATTTGATATATTATAGGGATTATAAAAAAGTTGAAATTCTTTTAACTGAATATGAAAAAATAAAAGAAACTGAAGAAGCATTCCAAAAAGAGTGTGAATTAAAAATGGAAGAATACCAAGAAAAAATAAAGTATTTAATTATTGTATGATATATATTATTTTAAATTTGAGTAATTTAAATCTTATGCATATTTTCTAGGCCTTAATAATAATAACTGATTTTAGGCAATATGAATAAAACACATTTACACAATTTTATTCCTTGTATTACCTTGGTATTTAGAAACATATACTAATCATTTAATAAACTGCTATATTAATTATCTTGTGCCATGTATTTAATTGCTATAATTTAGTAAAAATTAACTCATCATTTATTATTATTAATTATTAAATATCATACTAATCGTACTTTATTATATTATACTATACTACTATACTGTTAAAAATGACTTATTTTGACATTATAGTTGACAAGTGTAATATGAATTGCTTGCTTTTATGTATATTATATACTATATTGCTTACTTGGTTTTTTAGCATTTTAAATAATGTCCAGGAAATTTAAAAACTATATACAACAACTTGTTATTTGAATAATTTTGTAAATTGCTTAGGCATTATGTATAATAATGGATTATTTATTTTGCTGATGACATATGTATATATTATTAATTATTTTATTGTTGCTTATTCATGTGTAATATTTGTCAATAGTAAAGCTAAGTTGTTATTAGAAGAGCCTGTAGAAGATGATACAGAACTCAAAGAAGAATTAGACAAGATAAGGAATATGGTAGAAGTTGCTCGGTCAAAATTAAGTAAAAAAGCCAGAGCAGTTGGATTGATGAAACGCAAACTTGATCATATACCTGATAGAGCTGAATTGGCTCAATATCAAAGACGATTTGTTGAATTGTCCAACGAGGGTTAGTTTTTAAAAACTAAATAAATGTTATGAATTTGTTAATTTTTACATTAATGTTGATTTAGTGTCTGCCAGATATAGAGAGACAAAACGTCATTATGCTCTTTATAATACCCTTAGTGATGTTCAAATGTATTTGAATAAAGAACTATCACTGTTAAGTTCAATTCTTGATGCTTATCCTGAGTATGTTATCAATTAAATATTGTTAAAGATTATTCTGTAATTTCTATAATACTTTTCTATTTCAGAGCCGAAAAGTCACCAGAGGCTAAAGAACAGTTTTTGAGACAACTAGAAAATATAGATATCAGTGTAAAACAAACTTTAGACAGAGTAAGTTTCTTGATTGATTTTATTTAGCAACAGATTTGGTCAGATTTACATTTTCAAATTTGTAGGTGGAGAGTAAAAGAAACAAAGAGCAAAGTGTTAAAAGTAATTTGAATAATCAGCTATCCACTTGCATGTCAGCACATCGGCAATATTTAGCTGCTGTAAAACAGCTTGAGACTGAAATTCAAAAAAATCTCCAACTTCAAGAGCAAATTGATCAATTAAATAAAAATGAATAATTCAATTAAAAAATTATAATATCCGTTCATGTAGTACATTGTAATCAATTTTTTTTTTTATTTATATATATATATTTTTATTATTAAAACAATAAAAATGTTTAAAATTGTTAATAAATATTTTATATAACAAAGTTACTTAAATAACATTAAAAAAAAAAAAGTGTATTAACAAATCTATCATTTTTAAGTGAACCAATCTAAACAGCTATTGAATAATCTGAATGCTTCTGTGGGTTATTATTAGACACAGGTTTTGACCATAATGTCGATTTTCCCAGGTTAAGTTTCTTTAGTGTATCTGAGTTGCAGTTGTCAATCTCAGCTCGTCGAGTGTTAGCTGTAGGAAACAAAGATGTATCAGCCATCGAGGAAGATCTTTTAGATCTATTGGTTGGAAACCACCTACGCAAGAGCCAAACAATAAATAAGGTATAATGTAAAGAAAAATGATGTTTTCTGTTCACATGGTCTACTTTTACCTAGTTTGTGTTCGTCTTGGCAGTGATTTTTGATCATTTGGCGGTGGAGACAAGTCTGATGAAGTGCTAGACTGTGCCCGGCTATATATGAAACCTATAAAAGTAGTGATACTAGATTAGACCATTTATAATTTTTTTATCTGAAACACCAAACAATCTGTCGACAAACATAAAAAAAAAAAAAAAGAGGAAAAAAAGAAACAAAAAATTGTAATACACGTAGAAAATTAAGTAGAATAAAAAAAATTGATTTGTCGTCAGATAAAGTTAAGCGATATCACAGTGGATACTCGCTTGTAAGTTTTGTTTTGTTCAGATGATTGGATGATTCAATCCTACTTGACGTCATTTGTTCAACGTCCGAGTCCGAATCATCCATGTGCGTGGAATGTTTTTCGTATAAATCTTGAGATGATCTGTCATGTCTATTTTTGAACATCTATGAAATTTAAACAAAAAACCGATGTATTAGTAAATCATAAAATATTTTTTGAATGTAATGTGCACGTACACGTGCACGTGATAATATAACTTATGTATTTCTAGTGATCGGAGAAGTATTAATACTAGAAAAAATATTATTGTTATTTGTTAATGCTTATTGACATATCAAGAACTATGAAACATAATGTATGGATTTAGTATGAAGCCTATACTTCGAGTTTACCTGGGTAATTTTTCAAATTTCGTTCTTAAACTTGTATTTAAACTTTGTATTGGAGCATTAGAAAAATTAAATTATAAACAAATAATCCGAAAGTTTTAAATCCAAATGTCCCTACTGCTGTGCTTAATATCATTATAAAGTTATTGCCGTACCTTTGATGGGTGCGAGGAAGACGCGTAGTTTTCGTGTATGGATTGCTGACGTAAAGTGAGGTTGTGCAGCATGGGCATGGACCCGTGTTGCGTTTCGTCTATCGGAAACGTTGCGTATGGTGATATGTCGGCTGAAGTCTCTAAAACGACACGTGCATCGTATTAAGAATCATGAACCGTCGTCAGGACCACTTCCGGCAATTGTTTTTTTCTTTCTTTCTTTTTTTTTTTTTTTAAATTTATCTTTTGAAAAACTGAACGATCGCACTCACCTGGAATTTTTTCGGAGCTCGTCAGTCCCACTTTGTGTATGGTCGCGTAATACTTTTGATTCTCCGTGCTCCTTCGGTCGTGCGTGTCTCTAGTGTTTTGCGGAACACTTTCCCGTTCTGAAAACGTGTAACATAAGATTTTATACTTTACTCGTTTTACTTTGCTGCGGAAACGTGGCTAGTCGATTAATAACGATAAGTAACACAGTTTTCGTCGATAACCTGTGAAAGGATGTCGTAAGGGACAATAGATGTGTTTAGTGATGTGCCAAGGAGAGTCGCACGCGAAACAAAGTGATTTATACGGAGAAGTTTGAAATGGTACCGGAAAGCACACTGTATATTATACAGTCCTTTTAGTATCGAGGTACAGACGCGTCGTGATGAGAAAAAAAAATTGAAAATAACCATAAAAATAAACTAAAACGATCTTAATCATTTACTTCTTTTCAAGCAAACAAAAGCCGTGCAGACGACCACTAGAACAACCACACAAGTTCCAAGCACGGGAATCGCAGTCTTCATGTCCATATAATAAAACGGTTGGGAGATTCGACTCGTCTCGACTAGTTCCGGTGGCGGTTCCTCTGCAAAAACAAAGTCGTAACGTTTCGTGTTTATACAGTGTGTATTCGGCGAGTCGGCTACAGATGATGTTTAATGTGTACGTCTTACACATATCTGTTTACCTCCGTTTTCCGTTAACGTGAAAAAGTAATAATCGGCCAACGTGGACCCGGCGGCGTTGTGTCCTTCCACTTGGACTTGATATTCGGTGGCGGGCATCAGTCCTATGATCGTAAACTTTCGTTGGTTCCTCAGGTTATCGGCGGCTAAAAAAAAAAAAACATTTCACCAACCGTAGATTACATTTAATAACTAAGGTGCACATTTTAAACCAAATTTTATTAGGTACATCGGTTTAATACTATGCTGCCTATGATTTTAAATATAGGGGCCGTTATGTCTTTCAACTCAGGTTGACGACATGAAAATGGAACAAGAAAAGCAAAAAAGTATCCTTTGAATCCTTAGTTTGAACGATATTCCATCATATGCTTGTGCTTCTTCATCTAGAGGCACAAGCTTTTAGGGGTGTTAAAATTACATACATTACAATTACAAGTCAAATAATGATTGTAACTTGTGTTTAATTTTATTTATTCAAGTTTTTGTTTTTTGTTTTTATATTAGGGAAATGAATAAAAACGTTTTTGAAGTCGCTGTCCCATTGGTTGCGCAGAAGGTGTATGAAGGGAAGACAGGAAATTATTGTACACACGACATGAGACTTACAGGTGGTCCAGTGTGGCTGTAGCATCGGTCGGTGCCTGATAACGAACTTCGTGATGGGACAGTCGTTGTCCGGCCAGGCCTCCAAGTTCAACCTAAGGTACGTGGAATTTGGTCTCATGAACAACGACTTTTTCGGGACGCCGGGCTTGTTGCCTTTGGTTCTGGCGGTGACCGCGGCGCTCGGCGTAGAGCTGCCGATCTTGTTGTTGGCTATGATGTGTGCTTGGTACGTTTGGCCGCATGTCAAGCCCTGCAGACGGGGACAAGGAAAATTATTTCTAAAACTTCTTACACGCACACAGGGTCAGCTTACGTTCAGGTAGTACGACGTGGTGTGCCTCGGGATCGTCACTTGTTTGTACGGGCCTCTGGGGTGCACGTGGTACGTCATCGTGTAGCCCGTGATCGGTGCGTCGCCGTTGGATGAGAGCCGCCAGTGGAACACGAGACTCGAGCTAGTCGCACGCGCCGTGTACAAGATCGGCGGTTCCGGAGGCACTGCGAAACATCGGTGTCTCAGTTGTAATATTACATAAAATTCGATTTTCTTAGCGATTACCATACGATTATATTTATAGTTTGTTATATAGTATAATGAAACGTTATTGTTAAAGTCGTAGGTCAACCGTTGTCTGCCGCATATGGTACGCCCGATCATATTGATAAAAGCCACGTGACCTACTACATATCTATTTTATATTTTTTTATTCTACCGTTGCGATCTACGAGTAATACATCGATGGTACCCACGGCTGACAAACATCTATCGAATATAACTAACTCATACAATTGAGTCTTAGGCGAAACTTAATTTCAATCATAGATTAGGCCTAAATATTAAAATAATATTAATTGAAGATTTAACTTCGAAAACACTGATGGACATATGTGTTATTTATCATGTTGTTGAAGTATTCCGGTGTCACTTTCTGAACCCTTCATTCGTTCGTAAAAAAAAGCTCTTTTTTGATCGCATACCTAATAATATCTTAAGGTGCACCGAAATTTATAGCTTTGTAATGGATTAGTATTATTGTTTGGATAAGTTAAAAAAAAATAAAACGAAAATAGTATAATGAAAGAATAATAATCTTCATTCGATTTATATATTTATTTTATTTATTGAAAATTGGATAATTCGGCGCCCATGAATGCAAGCTTTCAGTCATTAATGCGCAACGATGTCAACATGGCATTGAGAGTCAATATTAACTATATTGTACTGTAGTATTTTTGCATGTAAAAACCACCGTATATACATTTTAAATATTAATCGCTCAAGTTTATTTTCCGAGAAGAGTAACATTATTTATATAGAAGTTAAATATATTTTCCATTGTAGTATATAATTATATGAGTTAGTTTCATTATAAAAATGGATATCAGAACTTTATGGTTGTAAGTTCAAAACTATAATGAATTATGAATTTAAACACAACTTTCATGTAATTTTCGTGACATTTTATTTCTGACATTAAACTAAGCCATGACTGATAGTTACACCGACGCAATCAGTACTGTAATACTCAGACATGAAAATTACTTAAACACTTGATTATGTAGTCCATCATATAAACTTAAAAATTTTAAACAAAAACTGTATTATTAAAACATACTCGTATTAATACTGGAAAATTGTAACTACGGCCGTAGCCAACTGCAGGGTTTCATCAGCCATTTAAAGTTCTCGTTACACTCGTAAGTGCTATACAAAAAAGAAATCGAAATGATAAACACAAAGGTAAACGGTAATCGAAATTAAAACACGACTCTCTAGGTATAACATTTTTGTCACACCTGTACCGAAAGTTTGGTTCTCGACCACGGTCGAAGCGTTGGAATGTCACATTTATCCGTCTAGCGGGCGGTAAGATAGGAATCCCATAGTGGTGGACGGTAAAGTGGAAATCCCAAAAAGTGCGCGGGGAGGGGAAGTGGAAATCCCTATAACCCGTATAGTAAATTGGAAATTTCCAAGAGCGCCGACCGCGTATTCCCAGCACGACCAGAAACTTGAATGTATACCACGGACCGTAGAAAACATTAACTTTCGGTTAAATCTTATACACATATCACAACCTCCTTGCACGACGCATACACATTTGAACATATTTCGTTTTCACTGTTCCCACACAAGTGCGTTGGACGTTACGGATAAGTTTGTTTAGCGCGATTTATATTTATGTATAATAATTCGAATTAGAAAATGATATGGTTCGCGCAAGTATCACGTCGCCGTTCAAATTATCCCATCTCGTGTCAACCGGTGCACTCGATAACGGTGTCGGTGTGTGATGTCCGAGAATTTTCGATCGGCGCGTTATCGCGCGATACGATTATCACCGGTCCGTGAACGCCATTACTCCGGGACTTTTTTCCTCCGTAACTTTTTCTGCGAACGTCCGACTTGTCGTTTTTCCCGTGCCACCGGCCGTATGTTTTTGTGGTTGCGGCATAGCACGGTGGAGTCGCCATCTCCGGGGATAACTTCGTAGGTGTGTGACGACTGTTCGAACCGTAGCTGATCCGTGTCCGCGAAATTTTCTTGCGCGGAGAAGCCAGTTATTGTAAATCGAGATCGACGCCGCTGATCAACCGATTCTTCTGCCGGTTGTGGCGTTTGTCGCACGTGTGAACACTGTCGCGTAGGCATAACCACTCGAACGCCAGACCGTCTAAGGTATCTTCCGTTATATTTGTTAAAAATATTATATTTATTTTTATACGATTTGTCTTGTTTTATTGTTACAACGCGTTTGAAGTATATGTGGTTTTATTGTTATTTTTAGATTTATCATATTTGTTATTACTTTTTTTGTTAATATTACTGTGGCGCTTTTGGCCTGTTTATCCCGGTATTTGTTATAATTTCATTAATTATCCTTGTTAAGTGTTCTTTTTTATTGCAAACGACGTGAGTACGTCACACAATCGAACCAGTGATGACTTGACTGCGAAGCGCGCAAACAAGCATAAATATGAAAGATGACAATCAGTATAGTAGTTGTATTGAACCATTTACTTCACCATACATGGTTATAACGGCAAATGCTGTTTCACTAAATTTATTGCCTAAAAAATCAAAAGAAAGACATATAATGTCTTACGAAAAACTTTTAAAAATGAGAAAAATAAATAAAACCAAATCGTCGGAAAATGTGTTTTTTACAAATTTTAACAAATTATCTACAGAAATTAAACCGTCAACTCTATGGTCTATTTATTTAATGCTTAAAATCATGAAAAATATAAAACATAATATTAATGTTGGTTCTTATTTAAAATCACAAGTTTTTTTTTTAAAGAGAAAATCGAGTGGATTAAAAGTAAAAATTACAAAGTTTTGGCTTCAGCCGATATAAAAAATTCATTGACGAAGTTCCTGATATTCAATATTTAGGTAGGTGAAATAAAATTGTTTTGTAAATATTGGCTATTCATTCTCCGTTCATTTATTACGATGTATGTAATATTCATTAGTGAAATATATATTACATATTAAACTTCTCTACTCAAAAACAAATTGTTCGCGATAATTTACTATTAAAGGGGAATTATATGATATTTTTAAAGAAATACATGGATTTATAACTTACAAATGTAACGTCACATAGATTTTTTTTTAGTTATAAAAACGGTTAATGCATCAAGTAGATTATTGGAAATATGCCTAAAGAAATTGCAATAAATTTAAATTTACTGTATTCCCGAGCTGATACAGGTCGTTTTTTCAGCCAAACTTCAGCAACATTATTTACTGATTCTGTTGGTGATGTTAAAACTAGTGATGGGAATAATCAAATGGAATAATTGAATGATTTTAATAATTTAAATAATGTTAACAGACATATTTACCAAAAGCAAATCAATTAAATTATTCGAAAAATTGCGTGTTTTACTCATTTCCATTGGGTACTAAATTAAGAAGTCGACTGTCCATCAGTATTGTATTGTAATTGTTAAAAATAATAAAATTACTGAATTTAACTGAAACTACAGGTACCTATTTGATAAGGGGCCTAGGTCTTATAATTTTTGAAAGGGCTTACCGGGATTTTCCCGGTATCCTGGTGGGCCAGTATGCGCCTGTATGAGCTCAATTTTTATGGTATCGATATCACGAAAACTGTTTTATTTAGATCACATATACAGAAATATATTATACACCAAAAATAAAGTTTATAAGGTTCGCGTAATAACGATTGTCATAAACTGGGGAGGAGCCAGTATTTCCTAACTTTTAATAAACCGTGAACATGTATTTAAAAGAGAATATTATCTGATTTCTGAGTGCAAAATAGTAAATAAAAATATACTATTTACCGATTTTAGTATTTGATCATCGGACAAAGAATTGCCGACTTTTTAAAATTTCTTAAAGCGGGGAATTTTCCATAGTCTGCCCTCCCTCCAAATGATGTCCCTGGCCTACTGTAAAACTGCAGAAAATTGGCCCAGTTCGGGTTTAGTAATTACAGTAATATTAAACTAAGGGAATTAAAGACGACGAGTACCGGTCACCAATTCTAAGACTATCATTAATAGCAATGAGTATACTTTATGTATGTACAATTGTATTCGTTTATAACAATATTGAGTATCAAAGAATCGAATACAATGTATAAAAGTATTTAATTTGAATTAACATTTATTGCACTGCGATACATTTAATGAATATATTGACCTATAAAATTCATTAGTATGATATTTTTAATCGATATTGTATTTATTTAGGAATTATCGCGCGATCGTTTTAAAGATGGTGCTCGTAAAAATTTCACTGTTAGCGGCGTGGATCATAGATCACATAAGAAATCTGCGCGGTGTAGCCATTCGCATCGTACTTACCTTGAACGATTATCCGATAGATTATCGAGTCGGCTCCGTGTATGTTCTCCACGTGACACGTGTAGTTGTCGCTGTGGGAACGATGGAGAGACGTGATCGTCATATCTCCGTTTTTCGTTACCTGTGCATTACCGTCCCACGACTGAATGGCTCTGAAGCTCTTTAGCCACTGCTTCTGGACAGCCGGTTGTCCTACCGCAACACACGGCAGTCTTAAGTATGTCCTCCAGGGCCTTTCGATTAGACCGCCGAAAGAAACGATTTTCGCCGGGACTGCTGTAACAGTATTAACGTTTAAAAATAAACATTATGTTTTAGAATTGCACGTGACACAAGGGAAAGTGCTGGGATAGCAGGCAATTCCGCGTGTTACACGCACGGTAGTCTCAAAGTTATGGAGGGAGGAGATGTATGTATCGAACCATCCTTTGGGTTGAGCATTTCGATGGCATTTTTTTTCTTATAAAAATGTCTAATATTATAATGTTTGAGCTATTGATATTTTGCTATCCCATGTTGGATGTGTATGTTTACTTACTTCTGGACGAAGAGAGTATTTGCGTTGCTACCTTTGAGCTTTGACCTTCACCTATTTTTGTAGAAGCCGTCACCCAAAACTGATATTCTAAGTGCGGTTGCAATCCTTTGGCCTCGTACGTCAAATGATGACTCGGCAACGTTCGTTTCATGTGGTTTAATTCTTCTTCACCGTTCATGACTCTGTATAGACACGATAGCATAATGTATGGGTAAAAATGTCTTTAAAATTCTATGCAGTATATTGCTTAAAAATATGTCAACGAACGCATTCGGTGTTCTAATTTTAAAATCAGCATTCAATCATTGTTGTAAAAGTAACTCATGTAGTCACATGTACATCTTACGTGGACATTGTTTTCTAAACTATTATATTATATTGCGAAATATAATAAATCGGTTGGTTTTTATACGTCGAAATACTGCAAAATAGGCTTAAGATTGTAATTATAATCGTACATTATTGTACGCGTTTTCATTAAATCACGATTAATTTGCTCATTTCAACTATTACTCGTTTTTGACTATTCATAAACTATTTTATACTGAAGAATGCTTGTACACCATCGTATAGATCATATAGATCAGTGCTTCTCAACCTTTTTCAAACTACCCTCCCCCCTAGAAGCAAAATGTTTTTCGATGCCCCCCATCACTTCATTAAAATTAAAATAGTATACATGATTATAATTGAATAATAAATAACATATGTTATGGGCAAAGTATAGATAACGGATGATATGATTTAATGAAATATGATAAATCGTAAAACATAAATAAAATAAAGTCAAATTATTATCTAAAAATGATTATCTGTTACTAGTTTGTTTGTTCTTATCGTATTTTTACAATGGGGATGTCTGCTTGTCCAAATATTATACGCGTGCACGTGACATAATATTTTATTACTATATTTATTGATTTATAAGTTATATTGTATGAAGTTATAGTGATTATCGTGCAGTCGGCCCTTTACCTATTCTCAAAAATGAACTATTTAGTAACCGTGAATTGTTTGTATAGTGCAGGTTAATTCATTCAGTGCGTACCTAACTACTTATTCGAATATGGAAAAGTTTAATGAAGATTTAAATAATTTGTTAAAAAAAAGGTTCAAATACTTCATTTTTTACCTATTTAAAATATGATCAATTAATTTTACATATAAATTATTTAAAAAACAATTCAAAGAAAAAGGAACCAAATGATTATAAACTTTTAAAAAATATGACGTGTTAAAAGTTTCTGATGTTAACAAGTTAATTGTACCAGTATCTGAAAACAATGAAATTAAATATTATGTACATAATGAAGAGTTATTTGATGTTATACATAAAGTTCATTTATCGATTGGACATGATGGATGAAACAGGATGGAACACGAGGTAAATACAAAATATAAAAATATCACCAGAGATATGATTATGCTATAATTAAATAGTTGCGAATCGTGTAAAAAAAGAGGAAGCTTAGCCAAGAAAGGATTGGTGGTGTAATCAATTATATCTATTGAGATGAATTAATCAATAATATATATGCATGTCATTATTCATTGATTTATCATATTTCATTAAATCATATTATCTGTTATCTATATTGCTCAAATTGTATACTTTGCCCTAATATATATATATATATATAAATGCAAAATTTATATTTAAATATAATTAAAATGTTTCGAAATGTATTGATCATTGAAATGGTTGTGCTTGGTGATTCAAAGTCAATTTTTTTACGTTTGGTTCAAAGTTTGTGAGATGAAGGCGTAAATCTCCTCTTTTGACGATGTCGAGTCGATTTCTTTTTTTCATTATTAGATAATAACGCACTACTTCTGGTATATGTAGTTTATATTTCCTAATCACGAATTTATTTTAGAAATCGATAAACAGGAAACAATTACAGATAAATCTTGGTGCGTTGCTTTGAACAGAAAAAAAGTTCACCACCTCTTATCATTCAAAACGAACTCACCGCCTTCACCGCCCACCGGGGGCAATATCGTCCCCGTTGAGAAGTACTGATATAGATCGTCACACATAATGTTCATCCTTCGGCTTACCTGGTGTACAGATTGTACCGTAGCAGAACACCGTTGGAATATTTGGGGGGTGACCATGCGACTGTAAACGATTGTGCAGACGAAACGGCAGTTTTGATGTCCTCCGGGGGTCCGGGTGCTGTAAAAAAAGAAACGATATTTTGAAGTCCTGAACGTCTATTGAGCACGGATCAAATCGTGTACCGTCTTGGTCAGTGCAGCACGTGATTGATTCCGAGTTCTCTCCGGTTCCGATTCGCGTGTAGGCCGCGACTTTTAATGTGTAGTTGGTGTACTTGTGGAGTCCAGTCAAGACGATGGTCAACGACGACGTTCTCCGGCTGCCGATTTCAATATCGTCGTCTGAAACGTACGGTTAACGACGCGCGTTTATAACTCACGTTCTTTCACTGATTACACGTCGAAATAGGGGTAATTGGGTGAAAAACACGACCGCATGCGATTAAATACCATTTGTGGTCGTAAATGACTTCATCGTCCACACGCAATATTTTTATTTATTTGTTTTTTATTATGCTTTTGTTCAACACATTAAAGCAAAGCAATTATGTAAACATCAATAAGACTTATTACATATAAGGACACGCACATTTACTATCGTTTTTATGTTTAATTTATTCGTATAGTATTACGACGTCATTATTTCAATAGACTATGATAAAAAATATATATATATATATTATAAATATTATATATGATAAAGGTACATAATTTGAGGTCCCTTTTAAAATCTGTTGATTACCACGCAAAGGAATAAGTACCCTGGGCCAGTATCTGTATTATATTATGTATAATACTGTATGATAAGTAATAAGCTGTAGTGATGCGCATTATAAATTTTGACTTCATTTTACCATTGTCAAAGAAAACTACAAGAAATATAAATCTAAAAAGTGAGTGATCTACTTATTGCATGGCTGCAGTGGCAGAAATTGTCAGGAACCTTGACTCGACATTAAATATATTCATATCGCACTATGGTTATCAAATAGGTATTATATAATATGATGTATAGTGAAAACGAACGCGTTTAAATATTTATAACGTTTATAGTTGTTTGTGAATTTTCGCAAAAACTGCAATAACCGATCGGTCGCGTTCTCGTACAGAATTCGATCCGTCAACGTCTCATAAAAAAGTCCATAAGCGTTTTTTCACGGATTTAAATCATATACAATTTCACTGTTCGCAATCCCACAAAAAAGTAAAAATGTTTAAAATACAAAACCTCTATCTATAGAATCGTAGGTGACCACGTATCCTTGTATTACTCCGTTCCAGTGTTGCGGCTCCGGGTGTTTCCAAGACATCTGTAACGTTTGCGAGCCTAAAGGCAAACAATGCACGTCGAGCGGGTGACTGGACGGCACTGAAACGACAACCGTTGATTACATATTATATTTTTTACTCGTGTGAATTCGCAGCAAGGCACCTTAATTTCAGTTCATTTTTATGATTTATCAAATTTAAGGAGAACCGAGTTTTCTCCTATGCTGAGGCCGGTTCAAAAAATGTTCACATGGCCATGAAAAGTTTAAATTTAGTTTCCAACTTTGTAGAATTAAGTACATAACGAAATACAATATCGATTCGATTTAAAATAAATTCACCAAGGTTGGTGTACTCAAAATTGGGAAAGAAAAAATATCATATGCCTCGAATTGCATAGGCCTATCTTGAATTTCGATATTCTGCGCTCGTCTATACATATTGGATGTTTATATTGATGAAAAAATCACAATCTGTTTTGGGTCACTGAATGGTTGTTGAAAATCAGCGGGTGGAATCGTACTCCGGTCGTCCCCCAAATGGTACCTCAGTGCTTGACTAGTGTAAACATGATTTCTTTATACCATCTTCCATTGTTTGGGCTGTAGTCGGTTCGGATAGTGGGCCGTTACCAACTTCATTGAACGCCTGTACCACTACGGAATATCTTTTGAACTTGATCAAATCCGCCAGTATTAGTTCGCCTCCGTCTTCTCCATCACCGTAAACCGTAGTCATGTTAGGAGCCATTAGTTCCATGCTGATCGAAAACAAGCATATTAAAGTTGGGTAAGACAATGAATGTTTGGCAGCATTATAGATAGGTTTTAAAGAGAAAGAAATAAACGATTCTGAGCGAAGCCAGTTAAATTATTACGTCGCATATTTTATTTTAAATAACCGTAACTAATACGTATAACGTAATAATTGAATAATGTGTTTATGCATCATATAAGCGTGGATCCACAGTAATTATTAGGGGGGGGGGCATTTTATATTGTGGGCATAATATAATATATAAAATTCAATATTTCTATAATATTATAAGTATTACTGCTTACCATAAATATTTTTTAACACTGTAAAGAAACAAAATTTCAACGAAATTAAAAAAAAAATAGGTAGGTACACTGAAAAAAAAACTTTTTATTTAAGAACAATAAAAATAATATGAAATATAAAATTAAATAAAAAATTATAGAGCGAAATCTAATTTTCTTTTGGTTTTTGAAAACATGTCAATACTTAGTTGCTATAGAAAAAATATAATTTTTATCATTGCTTGACATATAATATTATAATCTTTTTTTGTTTTGTTTTGTGACATTTGGGGGGGGGGAATCGCTGCCATGCCCCCCTTGTATCCGTGCTTGGTATCATATATAAAAAAAAAGTTAGGTAATTTTTTTTATTTTATCTATAATTGAATGAAAGCCAAGGTATTAAGATTAAAAACAACAAAAACCAATCGTCAATATTCATAAAAATTATACCGTATTTTAAGCCTAACAAGTTTTCTAAAAAAAAACGTACCAAGTAAAACCGTTTAGTTTTTTAATAAGTATAAGGTAAAATGGATTATGGTTGTTCATAATAAAACCGTGAATAATTATTATCTCATCAAAAGAAACGTATTCGCTATAGCTTGTCGAAGTTTGCCATATTTCTAATCACATGTTAAGACCACCGCTCCTAAAGAGTTTACGTGTAAATATACTCGATCACATCTTATTGTCCGATCCAATAGTCGTGATAATTTCATTGCAATATCTGAGCATTTGAAGGAAACTAACGTCAGTTTTACCATACCTATCATTCTCGGTCTTTGCGTCCTTTAAGGGTCGTTATCAGAAACCTCAATCATTCCACTCTCGGTACTGATATTTCTGTCATATTGGTAGAAGAAGGCTACATAGTGAGATTAGTCTATTATGTAAAAATAAAAATAACCGTCTTCTTTTAATATTTTTTGTTGATATTGAATGCAAATATAAAAACAACCAAATGTATAGCATCATTTCATTGCTAAATTCGAAAGTAGTTATATAGAAAAACAATAAAACCACATATGGTCAACCGCAGTGTTTTAATAAGAATATGGTCACACGCAAAATTACTACCATTACCCATCCCGTTACGTTGATTGGTGAAAATGTGGTGAGGTTCATGAGTCAAATAGTACCAAGTAGCGACAGCTTAATGCGTTTACTGTTCCGGTAATCACACCGCAAACTTCAGGGGGTATAAGTTCTACGAATCTATTCTAAATCGTCATAAAGTTAAGTCTTTGAACTCTCACAATACCTCACAGTCTAAAAATTTAATCTCTCCACAATGATCCTTATCAATCAATCCCGTCATGGGCATCTGTTATTTCTGGTCCTAAGCCGAAAATTAATCCACAAAATTAAAATTAAAATTTAGCTCTTTAAAAATTCCTTCCTGATTTATAAACTCATTGATTTCTGCCATATTAATAAAAAAATAATGAAGGCTTTCCCCAAATATTTTTCTTATTGCATAAGAATTATTAGTTATTGCATAACTAATTGCATTTGATATTGTTATGTGATATTAACTATAATTTTTATTATTATATCATTATGTTTAATTATCTTTATCTTTTACTTATTGCATTTATATATTAACTGTCGAACTATCATAGTTATTATTAAAAGTTCTAAAATATATAATAAAAAAAGGGGGGGAAGGAAAGTTGAAATCAATATAAACACACGAAATCGCTTCGCTCGGAATATGAAACCTTCGTGGACACATTAAAAAAAAAAAAAAAACACACTGTTCGTATTCGGGTATTTTAACGCTGTTCTCGCAATGTTATATTAAGCTGCCTACCTGGCTTCTTCGATACCGACGTTGTAGCCCAACACCATGCCGTTCCTGTGGTCCTTTTGCGGCGGTGACCAGGTGACCAACAGCTGCGTGGACGAGAGCGAGCGCACTTCCACCCTTGTCGGTGGTCCACTGGGTCGTTCAGGGTTGGTGATGGCCGTTAAATCTTCACTGGGAGCGCTCCAGCCCGCGTCTCCGGCAGCGATCACTCGCAAGAGGTACCTGGTAGCTGGCTGCAGACCGGTCACGAGTGCCATGCGAACGTTTCCTATGACTTCCGTGGGATCCCACCAGCCTTGAACAATTATACCGACGGGATAGAATATAGATATAAATAATCGGTTTTTTGTATGCGGTGGTGAAAGCAAGATGACAATTGCGGCACGCGTCACGAGTGGTGAAGCGGAAGAGCGGGATCATTCGAGAGGTGGTCACCACTGAGCTTTTACGAGTAGTGACGGGAAACGATTGCCGTGTACTTCGATAGCTTACACCACTGCTACCTATTACTGAAGTAGTGTTGAAATGAAATTCGGACATGTGGTACGCACAGATTCAACGGTGTTTTGTTATTAAAAATATTATTGATATGGACATACGAGTGCAAAAGGTAATTTTTCTACATGTAGTATAGGTTATTATAGCGTGAAATAATGATCGATTACGTTCGGTGAACACGAAATAGTAATTCAAGTTATTGTTCGGAGAAAAAGCGAAACGCGTCGAAGAAAAACGGGGCCAAAGAACGATTATCATAAGATTACAGACGAGTATTCTCGGCTTGTTCGAGAATAATGTGCAATGTTCGTGTATACACGGGATGTCCGCATCGTACTGGGGGTGTGTTTCGAACGGGCATCGACCGGTTGGATTCGGTTTGTTCGCGATCGGACTGCGTCGAGGAAATGATAAGAAAAAAAAACTGAAATAAACTGCGGTAAAGGGTAATGCGCACGGGTTAGTTGCTGTCGGGACCACGAGGGACCGCCGACAAAGTTGACGTCGCGCGACCGCGATGCACGTACCGTCGGACTTCTTGTGCTGCACTATGTACTTGGAAGTCTGATCACCGTTGTGGTCCCACTGCACGTTGATTGACGTGCTGGTTACAGCGATCACCCTCAGGTCGTTCGGCCGGTTCGGTGGCTCTTGTACGTGCAACTGCACTAGCTGCTGGTCTCTGCCGTACACGTTGCTCGCCTGGCACACGTACGAACCGCCGTCGTCCACCTGCACGTTGTTGATCTGCAGCGACGCGATCACTTTCTCGCCGAACGTCTGCTGTCGTTCTGTGAGCCTGGAAACGGATTGTGATTACGTGACGCGTCGATTATAATGCACTCCAAAAGCAGAGCCGGGTTTAAGGGGGTGGCTAAGGAAGCATTAGCCCCCTCCTTGGGACTAATTTAACTATTTTATAAAGCAAAGTATTATCATGTATTGATATATTGATAATTATAAAATATCGTCGATCGTCATTGATGAATATGGTACCTATTTTATAAATGTTTTTATAAATAAATAGCTCATTTTTTTTGTTAATTATATGTGTATACCTATATTTTTAAAATGGTTTCAGATTAAAATCAATAATCAATACCAATAACATGTAATTATTTAAAATATGTCACTATTGTGAAAAAAATAACTTACTTATGAAGAACTCAAAAACGTATTCTGTAATTTAAAATTGTATATAGATTTAAAAAAAACAACCAACTAAATTCTAGAACCTCCATTAGCTTCTCCTTTGTTGAGTGATAAAACCCACCCCTGTCCGGAAGTCGGTCGAAACGATGAAAACGGATCGATCTTCCGTTGGTTTTGTAACTTTTTTTCAACATTTTTTACTCTGTGCGCTACTATTTGATCTTTGATCGAACAATGAGATTTTATGGACGGTTACGCGAACAGTTCAAAGAGGTTTCTTACCTCACGATCTCGAAAACAGTTTATGTAGCGTAGTATAATGTTCCCGTTGTCGGAACGTATTAGCAAATATGGTTGTTTCTAGTCGAAATAATGAAACATTATGTCGTAATTGTAAAAACCATGAGTGTTTTACATTAATAGTTAAAAAATGGCTAATTATTAATAAGACATACTTTACTATTTAACGAAAAAAATTATAATTTTAATTAATAATTACAAATAATATTGTATTTTTGTTTTTTGTTATAAAATTAATATAAATTAACATATTTATTCTTATACTGTTTTAGATATTTGTTTATTACAGAAAATCGTTATTCTTAATTAATTTATATGTTTAAAATTATTATGCTAAGCATTTGTTATTCTATTTTCAATTGAAATTTTATTTTAACTATCCAGAGACTCTCGTCTATCGTCACACAGTTATTCTTAGCGATATGCAAAATAGTATTGTAAATATTAATCTGTGAACGTTATTTTATAGTATTACTGTTCAATAAAAATCTTATTATTATTATTATCATTATTATATCGTATTATAATCTAGAAGTGTTTGCTCTGAACAAAAAAGCGTTTTAACAAACGAATTAATGTCATCGAGTGTCCGGCTTTTATTTAACATTACTTACTGTATTCGCTAAAATTAAAATATGGCGTTTCATTTTGTATCACATGTATTATACACTCGTACAACCGTTTAACTAATCCTTTTGCTGCAGTAAAAATAAACAATTTGGGACGTTGGGAATTGCGTGACACCGTAAGATTATTTCACGTTTAAAACAAACGCAAACCGTGCTGCGCGTGGAATAGTTTAAGAAAACATGAATATTATATAACACGAAATGGAGTTATTCATAGAGTCATGACGATGGGACGCGCATGGTTATATTGTTCGCGAGAAATCCCAAACAAACACTCTCACGTTTACATACATATCCAGACGACCTTTCGAGGATTTGATGATATACACACAAACACACACATATATAAATATATATGTATAAATATTTTATAACACTCGTTTGTATGTTATTTTGCCGGATTTTCGGTAAACTGTTATTATATGATAATAACGTACTATGGACGTCCAGATATTATTATTTTAACCAATTACGGGCCTGTGCAAAGATCTTTACTGCTGCTATGTAAGACTTCGCACATTCGATATTTACACTTTTACGCGTATTATACGTTTTACGTTAATGCCGTGTCACCACACGCGATTTCTGTGCTCCGAAGACGGTTTAATTACTATCGTGGAAATCACGTTTGACACGCACCCGAAATAATAATATTTTATATGATACATGTCGCCATATGATTCTAAACAAAAAAGAAATATATCCGTTTCAAGAGGGAATTCGTAAAGTACCTCGTCCATCTTTATCATATATTCTGTCTCTTCTCGTTTTTATAAAGATGGCGTTAGCGGAATCATCCACGCAATATTATTCTAATACCAAAAACTGTCGAAATATAATTTACGGTTTCCGATTTCGTTTGGACGGATTGAATATTGTAAATCGTTCAGGGACGTCGCGTTATGCATAATTTTGATGAGATTTATGTCGATAGTAACGCGTAATATGAGGGGTAACAGGTTTCCACCAAAAGTTTACCTTTCCTTTTTCCGACAAAACCCGATTCCACCAAATTATATTTTCACTGATACCTGTAGATGTATCTATAGATTTGATTGCTATATCACCTATAAGTACATGAATTCATTTTTTTATAAATATGAACAATAAAACTGAAATACTCTAGAGTCGTATAATATCAAGTTAATATATTATCATTAAAATTTATAAATAAGACTAAAACAATGTTGCATGTTATCGGAAAAGCTCTTCTGATCGAAAAATACTTTACTTGTACATCCGTTGCACAGTCGGGGTTTCTAAAATAATCCAAGAGAAAAAATTATAATGGAAATCTCATTTTTGTCGTTTATGTAAAAAGTAAATATTTAAAAACAAAAACTACCCATAAATCTAACGTTAAAATACATTCACCATAAGTATGTACAGATAAACCTATTGAAAAATGAATAATTAGATTTAATTCATTAAAGTAAGGTGAACGTGAAGAATCATCTACCTCAACCTCACACATTACGGACGGGACACGTTTCCACCAATTATATTTTGACTGATAGCCATTTATACCATAATATTTTATACTAAAAAACCCACTTGTTTCAACGTATTTAGCTCGATACAATACAATATAATATATATTGTAACATATTATATACATATTATGTGTGTTAGGTATTGTTATGATCTTTATTAAACTCTGTAATGAATTTAAATTTGATGACTTGTTTTAACATTTAAATAAAATACGATAGGAGTTATTTAATATAACTGTCCATCAATACCAAAAAGGTGAAGCATTATCATTTCTATATATCATAATATAAATATAATATGTATATTTTATATTTTAAATTTATTTTATGTATATGTTACGGGCAAATTATACAATTTGGGTATTTTATATATTGTCCGGACAGTATATAAAATGCCCTTCGTATATTGATCAATATAGATAACGGATGATATGATTTAATGAAATATGATAAATCAATGAATAATGACATGTATTTATATTAGATATAAGTAGATATAATTGGTTGCACTACCAATCCTTTCTTGGCTATGATTCTTTTTTTTTTTTTACACAATTCGCAACTATTTAAGTATAGCATAATCATATTTCTGGTGATATTTTTATATAGGTACGCACTGAATGAATTAACTTGCACTATACAAGCGATTCGCGGTTACTAAATAGCTTATTTTTGAGAATATGTAAAAGGCCGACTGTACGATAAGCACTACAACTACATATAATATAACTTATAAATCAGTAAATATAATAATAATATATTATGTCACGTACACGCGTATAATATGTGGACAAGCGGACATCTCAATTGTAAAAATACGATAAGAACAAACTAGTTACAGATGATAATTTGACTTTATTTTAACTATGTCTTACGATTTATCATATTTCATTAAATCATATCATCCGTTATCTATATTGCCCAATATACGAAGGGCACTTTATATATTGTCCGGACAATTTATAAAATGCCCAAATTATATACTTTGCCGTAACATATATATTTAAAAGTCATAAACTTAAGCATAGTACTAAAAGAAGAGTTTTTTCATATACTTATATATATTTTTAAGTCGATTAAATAAGATAATATATTAACTTGATATTATATGACTCTAGAGTATTTCAGTTTATAGCAGGGTTTAAAACCGGTAAAAACCGTAAATTTGAAAACCGATAACCACTTTAAGTTTTGGAATGCTGGAAGTGGTTATCGGTTATCGGTGATCAAGGTAAATATCTAAATATTATCATCAAAGCCATTACCTCGTATTTTCAATTCCAGTTTTATAACCAAAACCTATTCCCGATCAAAATAATTAATGGTTTTTAGTGGTATTAATACTTGAATTATGTCAAGATTACATTATACTATTATAGTTGAATTTAATTTTCCAGCTATTTTTAAATACTTTTCCCAATTAATGACCGTCGAGTATTGCTTATTTGTTGTGAATATCATATATATATATATACACACACAATGTATCAATCTTAGTGTCACCTTAGAAAATTATTATATTTAATTTCAGTTTTTTACCGTTATATATAAGAAAATTATAACAATAAATTTTTTTAATGCAATTTTGTTTTTTGATTATCATTATCTTGATTATAATATGTTTTAAAAAAAGAGTTTGAAAAAATAAATATTGAAATCGAGTGAAATCGACCAAATCAAAGCATATTGAGTTTTTGATTTTGTAATATTAAAAATTATATTATCAACCCACGAATGGCCTAAATAAACTGTTTTAAAATATGATTTTTAAAAACCGGTTTTAACCGGCAACCGATTACCAAAAAACCTTATCATCGGCTTTTAAATAATTAACGATTATTATAGTTTTTGAAATATCCTTAAAAAACGGTTACCGGTTACCATAATATCAAAATAAAACGATAATCAGTTTCCGGTTTTAAAAAATTTTCGGCTCCAACCACAGCCGATTACCAACATTATTAGGAACGGTTTTAAGCCCTGGTTTATAGATAGTGTATTGTTCATATTTTAAGCTTATTTATCTACTATGTTATAATTGATTTTTGTTGTTATGTACCTAATTTAATACAATTACAAATATTTTGTATGCAATTTTTAATTGTTCAGGTTCTAAGTTATCTCATTTCTCTACAGGGTTTATGTTTTTATATTGTAATCAGGATTGATCGATTGTTTGATTATTTTTAAGAAGACCTGAAAATGTATAAACATTTTCTTACTCTCTTCCATTTCGGTAGCGCTTTCACAATAATAAAAAATATAATTTCTCAAAATAAACGATCATTTTTCTTGCACACAATTTATGTTATTTATTAAAATTAATTTTAGGTTATTCAATCTAATGATTAAATGACGTTCAACCGCCAATTATATTCAATGGATTATGTTATTTTTAGAACGTATTACAGCATAATTACAATGTTGAATAGTTATTATGAACAAAAAGAAAAAAAATCAGGGAGCACGTAATAAACTTACCGGAATTTGTTGGTCGTCATCGTATCAGATTTGCCGTTTTTGAACCATTTTACTTCGATCGGATGGTCACCCGTCACGTTGCATTGTAAAGTAGCCGTGTCTCCTTCTTTAGTGGAAACCGTTCTCGTCATCGAGGAAAACAACGGAGAGGCTGTTTACAATATCGATGAGTTATACTTAAGCCACTTCGATAAGTTTATTGGGTTATATATTGTATGAGTTTGTGTTCACTTACATTTAACGTTGACTTGGATCACTTTTCCGATCGCGTTTCCTATGCCGTTGGAGGCCTGACAGAGATAATACCCTTGTTTGTCTTCTTTGACGTTTTGCAGCAACAGCGAGTGATTGCTGAGTACTTTCGTGTGTATTTTTTCCTTCAGCTCTTCATAGTCACCGGATTTACTTCCTAATGTGAAAAACGTGCAAAATCAATTTTATAAACTTTAATGACATCATATGGTTACTAAACCCATTGAATGAAAACGCCGTTATTTTTCGAACATTGCGATACATTAACTAGCAATAAAACATCGCCGTTAACATTTTCTTAGTATAAATTTCTGTAACACAAATGTGTCAAGTCCATCGAAACTAATTTTGTGTAAGTAAATTTGTAATTTATTTTAAAAAGTAATTTTTACTTTTTTGTATTTTTTATGTCTTGTATTTATGTATACTCTGAAAATTGTATTAATCAATTCAAATAAAAAAAGAAAATATTTTTGCTAGTTACCAAACATTTATTTAAATACAATATACAAAAATATAAATATATATTTTTTAATCAATAGATTCGTATACACATATAAATATATATATATATATATATCGATAGAGAGATTTATTTTAAATTCATATTAGTAATATAAAGCATATTTACTATATATAGTTAAAAAAAAAAAATAAAAAAATAATTAAATTAAAAAAAAAGACAAACATATTAGAAAATTGTAAAATCAACTCAAAGTCATTATAATAAACGCATTCACTTACTGAATTCGTGAAAAATAAGAGGTGAAGATTACACACCAGAAATGAAAGAGTGATGACATATCTAAAATAACTATTGAAACTATAGCAAGTATACACATCAGAATAATACAATAGGTCATTTTCGGGAACCTGTCAAAATTTATATTCATATGATCATTCTGCAAATGCATTTCTTTGTTCTAGATATATCTATTAATATATATCATAAAAAATAGCTTTATTTTATCTTCAAATGTGTCTTTTGGAAAAGTCATCATATAATATCCAAAATAATGTTCAGTCTACTGCTTAGATGTAAGTAATTGAGTCTTAATTTCAAAATTTTTTTTTCCGAAATATTTTTGAGTATCCATTACGTTCAATATTCACTTCAGTGGTTCTAGTAGCATTTTATCCTACAGTCAGCTATAATTTTTATTTTATTTTCTCATTTTAAATGTGTCCATTTTTATCAGAAACGTGTTTAGTTTTGAAATACAAATGTAATTTTTTCATATTACATGTACCTAAATGATGAAAAGAAAAATATACCTTACTGGGCACTATTTTATGAGGTGCGTTTCTTTAAAATGATTTGAATGATTTTATTGTTTCATAAGGAAATAAAAATGTTTTCATGGTATTTTCCTCTGATCATTATTTTACCATTGCACTTTAAACTTTTTCCCTATTCAAATTCTACTCTTTTAATGTGTAAAATGTTTATATTAAAATTAACAAGCATTGGCTTGTAATATAATTTTACTGTGATATCAGATAACCAACTATTAATTTGTTAATGTTGTTATTCATGATGATTTTGATATAACGCCATAAAAATTATATTTTATAAAAAAAAATAAAAAAAAAATATGTCCCTTATTCTATAGAATCTAATGTTACGGAGAAAAATAAAATACAAGTATCAATAATTTTAAGTGTAGGCATATATTTTCAACTGTCGAAATTGTCGGCATAGATCGCAAAGTATATTGGAAGTATATAGTATTAAATTACCATTAAAAGCTTTTATTTCGTTTATTTTTCTCTTTGTTCTGCTTTATTAAAGTCAACTACAAAGCGTTTCTTTTAAATTACTTCTTTGTTGTAGTAACTCTTTATTATTAATTCGTTTTTAAAATTTTCTTTGGTTGATACTTCATCATTATTTGTATTTACTTAAAATAATAATTATACTGAATGAACATAAAATAACGAAAAATATTTGTGAAAAATAATTTGTAGGTGGGTTTGCTGTATGAATTTAATTATTTTTAATAAATCTTATATGCAATGAAAAACGAAAAGAGATTTATTTGTGAGTATATTCTAATCTTATAAGTATATTTTTTTTGTCTTTAATATATTATCATTGGTTTTAGGTAAAATAAAAAATGAGTACAAAGCAAACAATTTTTTTAGCGTTATTTTTTCATTATGTAAATGAATTTATTTTTATTGTTGGATAAAACATTAAACATCAAAATGTTTCTTTGTTTATATAGTTCAAAAATAACGAATTGGTGTTCCTATTTATGATTATATTTAAATAAGGAAAAATATATTTTTTACTCATCAGATGTTCCTATAAACATTTCATACATAATAAAATACTATTTGTAAAGAATCTTTTATTTGAAAAATCGGTATATAGTCCATTGGTATATAATAGGAAATATGAATTTTCGTGAAGAAAAAACAAACATAAGATGAATTTTAAATTAATGATAATTTGACAGCCAGATTTTCTAGAAAAAAAAAAAAATAATAATAACAATAAATTATGTATATTTTACTAACCAGTAGCTTTTTTCCATACAATTGTGGGTTTGGGCACGCCGTCAGCTTGGCAATCGATAATTAACTGTCGGTTCCTTTCGATGTCCACATCCGCTGGTTCGATGGTCCATTTTGGTGGCACTAATTAAATGGACCGAGGGGAGGGGGAGAAAAACGAAAATTAATCATTGAACAATTTCTATAGCTGCTATTCAATACTTGAAATACCAATTTCAATTTTAAACGGATGCTTTATTTAATAAAATTACATAGAATCCGAGGTACGTGCAATTTGCATATCGTAATTACTGCGTGTAGTGCCATTATGAACAGTTTTGAGTTTTAATGCATATCATAATAGGCCGACGATAGTAAATATTTCCAAGCATGTAGTTCGGTATGTATAGATGGTATTATGTTCTGTCATTTATCTAAAGATACGGATATTATTAAACTTTTCTAATGACAAAACGATGACTTTTAAATCCGATTATCGCAATTCGTTTTCATTAACTTTCTGAAAACACAACGGAAACATGAAACATAAAAGAAAATGTGTTGATTTAGGTTTGTAATGAGGTGGACTAAAATTCATTTCGATTTTAAAATACATTTTAGTATTTTATCAAACTAACTTTTTGATACTAAAGAAATTCAAAAAGTAATTGTTAATTAAATTCATAAATTAATAAATAACAAGAACAAAAAAGTTTCATTGAGTTCTGTCATCATTCATTTTAAATTAAAATGTTCTACAAAATATTTTGGATTTTATGTTGACTCTAATTAAATTAAATTACACTGATATTATTTGATATTGATATTTTAGTGAATCATTTTGTTGGGTGGTAATATTTGAGTACTACTATGAATACGGTAAATTCAATAAAAAGTCAATTTTAAGAACGGCATACTATAGCGTATTTATACAATTTGTCTCAATCAGTAAACAAAAATGATTAATAACTGTATAATCAAATGTTCATCGTATATTAGTTATTAAACATTTGTACAATTATAACGATATCAGAAACGATTTGAAGAAATTATTCCAAAATGAAATGTATTCAACGCTTTAAAATAATAATAATTTTTAGGTAACAGATAATCAATTATAATTATTTGTTATTATTTTGACAAAAACTGTTTTATTCAGATATATTATCAGTTATTGATTTACTTATAAAAGTGTGTGTATAGCCACAGATGTACAGATAGACGATATTTCATGTAAATAGCTAATTACACATCGCTAATTTTGTAATGACAATACATTTTCAATGTACAGCTATCAAATATTTAATTAATCAATATATTATACATTTCGCTGTCTATTAATACCTATTATTACATATTATTTGCGTTGTACATGCCTATTGTGCAGTAACAGAAGCTCACTTGGAATCTAGATTATAATAAAATTCACAGATTTTAAAGTCATTTTGTTAGCGTAAATATTCGATATTATGTTAATGATTGTATGTTTTGAATCGATAATATTTCGAATAGTGAGAATGAATGGATCGTATATAGTATAACCAGGATTTAAAGTTGAAGTAGTAAAAAAGTCAGACCGATTGTTTGTATACACGGGCACCTATTTAAATATTTATTGCAGTTTTAAAAAGTCATTAATAACGTTTAAACGAAAAACAAAGAGAATAATACTGAACAATGAATTCATTTTGACGGACGTAGACGACTTTTAAATCCATTGACTTTGAATAGGTATTGGTATTTCAAGTATTTTTATCAGCAAAATATTTAATTTACATAGTAAATAATATCTTTGTTGACATTTACAAAATAAAAGTCAACAAAGTTTGGCAGCATTTTGGATATTGTTATAGTATTAAGTAAAAATATTACGCAGATTTATTAAAGTATTATCTAAGAATTGACCATCCAAATAAAAGAAGGAAGCACATTTTATTAGAATTAACGTTATTGCGTTAGAATAGTATCATATTTATGCAAAAAAAAAAAAATCAGAGAAAACTGTCAAATTGATAATGGATCATCGATTGATATAAACAATGTTCATAAATATACAATAATAGTTTTTTTTTTTTTTTTTTTTTTTTAATGTGTTTCCCTCGAAATTATTGATTATATCAATACGATCTATATGTTAATATAGAAACATGCATGTAAGCTATTGTATTTAAGGTAATACGTTATCTACATGCACTACTTGTATAACTACGGCAAGATGAATACAAATGGAAGACGAGTATATTATCTGTCACAGAAATACAAAAATTGTATCCGTGTAACAGTTGTATAGAAATAAATGGATAAAAAAGTAATGACAATGTTCAAATATATACAGAATAGTGTAAACATGCAAATCCTATTAATGTATGAGACAGAAAAAGAGAGAGAGAAAGAGAAAATAGAAAAAAAAAGAGACAAGTGACGTTAAACCTATACAAACTAAGCAAATCGGAATCGGCCGAAAAAAGTATTAAACTTTTATGAAACTATATGTACGTTCTGCACTTTGTGCAGTGTATACATAATATGCTGTTCAATTGATATTGTCGGTGACACCGAAAGAACGTGAATTATTATTGTTTGTTTTTAACGGTTTAACGATAGTGAAAAGTGTTTTGCCAAAGAAAATAATGATGGAAAAAAAACACACACACATAAGTGTGATAGTATAATTTTCGAATACGGTTTATAATCAATATATTTACGTCTGTTTCGTGACCAATGAGGATGTAGATCATAAATATAATTAAATAAATAAATTTGTGTTAATAAATTAATATAATTTTCCAATAAAATAACACATGAAAATATATTATAAGGAAAACGTTGGTGAAATATATACCTATTATACTGTATATGATAGAAAAAGTTATTAAAATATTAGAAAATATAAAAGTAATAAGAATAAAAAGAATGAAGTAGAAAAAAAATCAAATAAATAAATAAAAAGTGCTCATTTTACCTGTGAACATATGATTGTGAATATACAACTTGCGATGGTTTCCAATGATATAAATACATTTTGTGAGGTAAATTGGTGTACGATATAATATTATGTTATAATAACATTTAAACTGTTTGATATGAGTGCTTTTAACAATATTATAAAGAGCTCGTATGTATTGGTAACGATCGGAAACGGTAGCGTTATCGATTAAACGGTATAATAACGAATGTGCAAGCAATACACATGTATTTATACCATATAACCTAACCTAACCATGATCCGTATGCTATAATTATAATATAATTACGCAATAAATAACAACATCAGTGTGTGTAAATCGGTTTGATTTGTAGTCAAAATGATGAAAATATCATCGAGGAAATTATAATGACAGTCCTGCCTTGGCAATCAACATTTGTTTATATTGTACACACGGCCGTTTTAGTATTAGTATATCGGGAACATAGAATATCGTCTAAATTTTGGCTAATGTGCATGATTGTAAAAATATCATTAGTATTTTAACTGGTACAAAACTCATAATTTAATACGTGGATATCGTGGTAGATTTAAACACAGATTTTTAAAAATCGTTCCGAGAAAGAGATATATCATAACATATATGTATATATTACAATATATTTTTTCATTGCGCGATTTCAATTAATATTTTTATTTGGAGAATATCTATACATATTATTTATGTATATGTTGAGCGTTGAAATGATTAAGAGTTGTGTAATTATAATAATAAATAATGAAATATACGAGAGGATTTGATTTGTATTTCAATAGTTTTTATGGTGAATAAAATTAAGTACGTTTTAAAATCACTTAAAAGCATTTTCGATGTATGCATTTGAAAGTTTGAAGTTTTTGTGAAATGCTGGTTATGTAATGATGAGTGAAACTCTGCTAAACTAGACTGTGGGATGGATGAAGTGAGAATTATATTTAATATGATTTTGGATCTATGTACAACCGCACAGCGTTCAGTAAGATTCATTAATATCTGGATGAAATGAATAAATAATATTTATCCGTAGAGTTGAGAAATAAAAGTAACGGTACATAATTTAAACTCGAGACAAAAGGAAATATTTAACTCGATTCGAAATCTCACAATGTGCATAAATGTATGAATAAACTTATTAAAAGCTGCGGGAACTGCTGTGATGAAAAAAAAAAATAAATAAAAAATTAGGCATATTGTTGTTAAAAATTATGTTTAATTATTCTTTTTGGTGTAGAATGAATTCAGCAACTGTCAACTTCATAAATATTTAACACCGTAATATATTTTGTTTAAAATTCAAATATTATGGTTAAAATTCATTTTTAAACAGAAAAATTCTTTCGAACGCACTGATTAAAGTTTTCATCATTTTCTATCCTTGATTAAATAATTTATAAATAACTTTATGGCTTGTATAAGAAATTGTATTCACGATTATTAGAAATTATGATTTTTATCACAAAATGTGTGTCGCAAAATTGGAAGTGAAAATTAAATTTTTCCATCAAAAGGACTACACATAATCCTCATATTACATATTTTAGTGATTATTTACGTTAATCGTGTTTTTCGAGAGCGATTATTTACACATAACAGAATTGCGTTCCTTACAACTATACTATACTTTAACTACCGTATGTAATTTTAATGGAAATTCAATTAGGAAATTGAAACAAAATGGTATTTCCAACAAAAGTTTCACTGGGATTGAACTTTCCTCGTGATGTGCGCATTGACGTACGGATTTTATCCATTCAACTGGCGTAATAACAGCGTGGAGAATTAACCAAAAAAGTCGTTTGCGTTTATTGACCATTGTTTGATTTTATTTTTATTTACAAAATTTATGTCGAACTCGGACCGCCAAACTGTCTCTTTAAATATACCCTCCGGGTCCCGAAAACGATAAATACGCTGCTACCGTGTTCCGGTCGCTTGGTTCTCGAACATTGCAAAATTAAACATACGTATGTTGTGGTGGTGTTGGTGGTGGTGGTTGTGGTGGTGGTGTAATGGTGCAAAAGCCGAGCAAACGTTTTACAAATGTATAAAATGTATTATTCCGCCCCGGCCGGTCAGTCTTCGACGTGAAGTCGGTCGGCGGCGAATGCAGTGGCGCAAATAGCGGTAAAAGGTCGGGCACTTAGTAATTTCTCGAAATAGTTACGTGCCACGTCGAAAACATTCGAGCGATAAACAATCGTTAGGTAAGTTCGATGATCCATCAGAGACCTTTCTCCTCTCTCTGTACGACTAATCGAATAATAATTTATTCAAAAAAAGTTCCTCGTACATCACAAGTTCCACTCGAAAATTTAAAACTAAGAACGTGAAGTAAGCTAATGCCTTCACATCATTTAAAGTAGTGGCAGTTCGAAGTTCTGTAATGAAATTACCATTTAAACGTATTCTAACGATAACGAATAGTTTTAAATCGTTTATACATATTATATAGGTGTCGTGGCTCGAAAATACACAGCGAAAAAATATGATCACCTGGAAACGTCACCTATTTGCGCCACCGGGTGAATGCGGTCGGTTCAAAAGATGCGTAAAATTTCTGTTCGAAAAAATAAAAACAAACCTGATATCGGTTTCGTTCGTTCTATATAAATCATTTTGACCGACCGCGATATTCACTCGCATGCTCGTACGCCTTTCGGGTCGGATTATTAAGTCGGGTTAGATCCTCGGCTAGGTCATAGATTAGGTGTGAACCAAACCCAATTTATTGTTACCGAGGACCTAACCCGACCGTGAGCAATAGTGTGTGTGCGTGTGTGTGTGTGTTATAATATTGCACGCGCGCGCGGTTCAAGTGGTGGTGATATAACTGCACGGGTCATGGGCGGATGGTACGTAGGTGGATTGCTGCTGCCACTTACCTTTGACTAGTAGCGCGGCCGTGTACCTAACCTGGGCCGCGGGGTTTTGGGCCTGGCAGGTATACCGGCCGGTGTGGTGTCGCGTGAGCCTGGGAATGCTGAGCAAACTGGAGTACGGGTCAAGCGTGGTGACGACCACGGCACCATCGCCGCCGCCACTGACGCCGTTATCGGCAGTGGCGGCGGCCGACAGGTCCTCGCCTTCGTCCTGCAGCAGGACGGGCGCGCCGTCTTTGAGCCACGCGATGCTCAGCGGAGGATCGCCGTGGCTCACGCCGCACACGACCCTCGTCCGCGTGCCTTCTACCAGCCCGTCGCCGGGGAAATTAAAAGGCTCAATTACGGGAGGTACTAATAGGAAAATAAAACAATACATTATAAACGTATACGACAATAATAATGATAATAATAATAATAATAATAATAATAATAATAATAATAACACTGTTAAAACAGTAATATCAATTATAACAATAACGGACAACACTTATAACTAACAACGTATGTGTATTATAAACGTATAAGACGAACATTATTATTATATTGAGACTATGTATAAAGTAATAGAAATGTAAAAAAAAAAAAAATGTAATATTATATACACAATACGCAATGACAATACGTAACATATAATATGTACGCAACAACAACGTCTAGAAAAAAATCGAAAAAATGAAAACACGGACGGCAACATCGTGATAAAAAATTCAGCTACAAGACGCTTCCGTCTTACGTAAAAAAAAAAAAAAAATCCAAAACAAAAACGTAAAAAATAATAAAAGAGTACATCAGCGGGCGTCAAGGGGGTTTTTTTTCAATTTTTTTTTTTTTTTACCATTGACGATCAACCGCTGCGTGATTATCCGCCGGGCCGCGTGGTTACCGGCCTCGCAACTATAGTTGCCAGTGTGCTGCGGCCCGAGCGTCTCAAAGGCCAGCACGCTATTGTAATTGTCCACCCGGGTAACAGTGGCGGCCGGGCCCAGTGGGCCACCGGCGTAGTCCTTGGACCACGCGATGGTCAGCGGCAGATCGCCACTGATCACCGAGCACGTGATGCTGGCCCGTTCGCCCACGTTCACCGTCCGTTCCGTCGGGAGCGCGCTGAGCCGTGGCGGCACTGCAATTATTTTACCTTGCATTCGATGGCACCCGTACACATGTTTTCGTTTTTTTTTTTTTCATTTATTTTCATTTCTTTCTAATACTCCCAACCCCTGACCCGCACACGTTAAATAGCTGCTGTCAGGAACTCGTGTGTTCCGAAAGCTTTTAAAACGCAACTTTGATTCTGCACATTGATTTGCACTTTACGTATCCCGCGGGTGCAGCATTCTAGGCCTATTATATTTCCAACCATCACCGGTCAATCTGAACATGCGATTGAAATACTTTTAATTGTTTACCTCAATCCTTACCTCTAATTAATGAGTTTATCTAATGTACTTTCGTTGAATTTCGGCAGAGCGTACCGTGAATTAAAAAAAAAAGAAATCGACGCAAATCGATCTCGTGTTGATTCCGTTCCAAATATATAAAGGTCTGTTTTCAAAATTTTTTAACTAGAACGATAAGCATGTTGGAAATATAATACGTCTTCATTTCTGTTGGGCGTGTGGGATAGACAGCGAAAATGACCACTTCCATTTTTCTCTTGGGATAATAATTAGTAATTTTAAGTTTATTTTCATGTTTAGTTGAATATTGTTAAAAAAGAGATATTCACACCATCGATGGCTCGCGGAATACTTTTATATTATCATTATATTATTGCGATTTGACTGCTATATCAATCGAAGGAATATCCTCCGAGAACGTCAAAATATGACTATGACATATCTAATGATAAAAATTGTAAGTGTCGAGTATAATCAAATATATTTTTTTTAACACTGTCTTGTTTTAAAAACCATAATCAATCTATCTTATAAATGAACTATAATATCACGTGCTATCTTCACGCTTTCACAATGCCGCCGTTAGAGATGAACAACAAAAATATATATTGGATATTAATATTTGTGTTTATTTAAGCTCAGTGTATAGTATATTATTTTGTTAGTAAATTGTTGTAATGTCATGCAATAACTCTTTTCGCATCCTTTTATAGAATGTATGTACATTTAGGAATGTTAAAGATAAATGGGGTAAATCATTTTGTGAAATCATACAGCCCTGGTCCTAGCAAATCCTTAGACATATCCTACACGACGATAAACACAACATTTTTCTGCCAATATTTACGACCATGAATATTTGTATGACTGAGCGTGCGGTGAAGCTTAATATTGAATTCTCGACAATTTCATTCCACGGGTTCGAGAAACGTTTAGTTGGACAGATCCAAAAGTAAATTGTTACTCCTTGTGAATCGAATAAGAGTTCATCCATCGTCCCCGCAGATTTATTTCACCGTAACGTCGTCAATTGGTCTCAGACGAGACTAGTTTTTATTGACTGGGAACAAGAAATTTGCTGGTGATGGTAGTATTGCGTTGATAACATTTTCCAGTGAAATTAAGGTGTCGAGTTCAAATACACACCGATAAATTTTTAATTATTTTCACGGTAAAAAATACATCGATGGAGAATAATACGGTGAAAAACGAGACACAAATAAGAAAACTATTGTGAAGAAAGAATAATGATTATATCCACGGATTAAATTTGGTCGAGTTCGAAAAGTGTGTTTTCTATAATTTCATGTCAAACCGTTGTTTTACAAGCATAACGAAAATGTAATACGATTAATTGGAATTGGTACTCTGTTTTTGACATTCACGGCAATAACCACCGTGGTGGCGGTAGGTATTCAATATTTTGGTAACGTGTAGGATTATATTATATGTATTACAATTCGAGCGAAATTTTCAGTGTTTTGTACATTAATGTAATGGCATGTCGCAACATAACGCGTAGGAGTGTATGTCAGCTTAATTATAGTGTTATTTATTATTTTTTTCGGAAAATGTAAATATCATCCATTTAAACTGAATGCATTTTATGTTTAATATTCCTTTTCAGAAATAATGTAAACATATGAATTTCGCATCCAAAGAGATGGAAAAAACAATAAATTATATCAAAAATATTCACTCGTACCACGGTTTGGTGTTTTTGATATCCATTAATTGTATAATTTAATAAGCAACTATATTATGTATAGTTTACCACAATCACATGGTTTATCCATGGTGATTATAATCGATGACAACGGTATCGGCTGTAAAATGTAATGTTTTGAAATCAAAACGAGAAATATTTACCCACAAGAATATTATTGTAATACAAACTTGTCTCCGCAAAATATTTTAACCGTTTCATATCGCGTCTAACATTATCTAACTTAAAAGTTCTTGATTCGAACTTCAAACGCTTCATAAACACATTTCAATTGATTTCAATATTTCTAATGGAATTTTACAGGAAACGCAAAAAAAACGGCCATAATTACTAAAACAGTTGTCGGGCGTCATTAAAGTACGATATTATACTGTAGTTTATGCTCTCAATTGAGCGTATATAATGACGAATATATATTTATAATATATAAACAAATATATATAAATATTTTTCAAAGTAAGTGATGCAGAAAAAAATTGAAAAATGGTCGGCAAACGGACAATAATACATATTTTATGTCTGAGGAATGTTCAAGGTTCACGTTTTAATAAAAATTCTTTCTTCGATTGGAATTCGAGATAGGTAGATATCATGTGGGCGTATACACTTGTGACGACGCTGGACAATATGTAAAGTTGAAATGTCGCGTGTTATTGCGAGACAGTAGTTTTTAAATTGTTATGTTAAAACCAGCTAAAAGTAAATATGTATGAACACGGTGCAATGAACATCCGCACAAAAATAATTTTTAAACGGCAAATTTTGAAGGCGACATGGGGGTTGATGGAAATAAAATGAAGAGAAAAAGGCAGAAAATGCACTTGAGTAGAAAAGTTTCCGTATATACCTAATTTAAAGGTTTCTATTATTCACTAGATTTATTGAAGTTATAAATTAAATTCTGCTGTAGACGTATTCGGCAAAACGAGGAAAAACGATGGAGAGAGAGGAGATGGGAAGAAATAGGAAAGGGATGGAGATAGAGATAGAGAGAAGAAGAGGGAAAGAGAAAAAGAGAGAAAGAGATCTCTTATTGTATAATTTAAGTGGTCGAAATCAAATTGTGAAACATTTCCTTTGTCGGTAATAACGTATAACGTATAATATATATAGAAAGTTTGTTCGAGGTGGTCAGCGGACGAAAGGCAGAGGAACAGAGGGTTGAGCGGGAGACCCACAAACGTAATATTGAAAATTAATTTTTCATGTTTTTTTTATCTTGCGACCAGGAGGCGCGGCTGTTCAGAGCTTCGATTGCCTTACCGGGATAAATCGATTCGAATCAAACCAAAATACGTACACCTCCTACACTTTCAACAGGTAAACGCGTTTTAAATTTATTTCGATCGATTCGATGAATTTCCCCGTTGCCGACGTGAAGTTTGTGTTTACCAATGTCGTGACCGGGTCCCGCGAGCTCGTGAACAGAACGCTACCGACGCCGCCGGGACACGTGAAATATTTGCACAACCGGCGAAAACCTTTTTCGCTTCTGTAAACGTTCGAACAAATTTGTTTTCCACTCGATCACAACGATGTTACGCGAATATCATCGCATTGGCGTATACTTTCACGGATTAGGTTTCACGAGACTACAATCGGTACACACATGCACCCGCGCGCCGTTTTTGCGTTATATAATGCATGTTTTCGGTTGTCGAACATTGCGTACTACGTTTGTCCCGTACGCGTGTGTACGTTAAACATTTATCCGATCGACATCGATTTACCGTAGAAACGTAAACTATTTAAATATAAAGTTTTAGGTAAAATTAAAAAGACATTTATGTGCGCAAGTAAGTATTTCGTTTTGTGGACTGTTTGTTACAACGGCTCCGAATTATAATTTTACGTACCACGAATATACTATTATCACGCTGGTCACAGTCGACGAATAAAATACAAACATTGTACGTTACATTATTTGAAAAATGTGAATTTTATATTAGCTATATACCAATATATACTTCTTAATCAAAAAAAAAATATAAAACAAAACAAAACAAAAAAAAAAAAAATCTTAACGATATATCGCCCGGACCAAAAGTTTTTCAATTAAATACACAGTACAATGATGATAATGTTTTACGCTTGTATTTGCAAACGCTTTCGAAAGTTTTGCGATTTTAATTATTTACTCAGTATTCTATAAGCCATGTCAATGGAACAGTCGAATTTACAGCAAATATGAACTCGTCATAATATACATTTTGATCTTGATGTGCGCGTGCCTATTATTTTAGTATGGTATCCATCATATTATAGTTATCAGGAGTCATTGAATTATTGCAATAATACAACGACAATACATTCCGATTGTTATTGAAGTGTTGTCGTCACTTAAATATAGCCATTGATTTATATGATTTATAGTGAAAATGAAATTTAAAAACAAAAAAGTAAAAATACATTATAAAATATTGAGTGTGTGAAAATCATTGAATTGACATTTGTTCTACAGTTTTTATACATTTAATTATTACATTTTATAATTTATGGTATATTTACAATAAAATAAAGGGATTTAATTACAAATAACATTATGGAAAACCGAAGAGAGAAGCTATTTAGTAATAAAAATATTTGTGATAGTAGTATTTTTTTATATTTCTTATAAATTAGTAAATATATATTAATTAATTTTAGTTATTAGTTTTAAAGAAAATTTCTATACTATTTTCAATTTAGTCGATGTGTCGGATTATCAGAAATAACTGTGGAAGGTTATATATGTTTATATTTTATCCATAAACGTGAACAATTTAATAACGAATAAAATTAAACGAGTCATTTCTTTAAAAAAATTGATTAAAATATGAAAAAAATTGCTGTGCGAAGTATATTATATTCCTTGGAGAACGAATACAATACATAATATTAATTTTGTTTTGTTTTCGAAAAGATCTCGGTTTGTGTAGTTTCTATAGATCATATGTACAGATTCTATATTTTCCAATAACGTAATAAACTTGTTTTTATTCGAACGCTAAAATTAAGTATGTATAATAATATGGTATTCAATCTTCAATGTATTCTTTTTTTAAGATACACCAAAGTAGAATATACAAAATTGTGATCATACCGTGAAGATTTGCCAACAGGTGCCTAATGTTAAAATTAAATAGCACTGATCTATAATATTGTAATTTATAATACAAAAATCAATAAATTCAATATATACAACCGAGATTAAAGTATTCGCTAAATGTATTAAACTTAGTTGAGTAATTAAAACATTATAATACATCAGTATTCATCAATAAACCGTGTAATGCAATAATGTTTTCGGTTTTTAATAGGAAAATAAATATCTAACTTTGTAATCAAATTTGTTTAACTGATGAAATTATTTGATAATGGAAGTTTAGGTAATTTAATTTAATTTTTATTTATTAAAATAGTAATTACACACTATATTTATTATTATATCCCTAATGGGAAATTTAGGTAGGTACTATAAACAGTGTTGATAATGAACGTGCTAAAAGTGTGCACTCACTCAAATCGGATAAAACTAAAATTACATCATTAAAAATGACGTTTTATACCATAATCCTCATATTGTTCTGTTCTTCAAAATATTATTACCTATATAATTTGTCGTCATTATAGAATATACATGAATAGAATGGAACACAATTTTCTTTTAAATACGATAACTGGAGACTGCATTTTTACGTAAAAAAATGTTGATAGTTATTAATTTATTGATCGAAAATTACTTAAACAGTATCGTGACATGCCCAATTTTAATCTTACATTTTTCGTTTGACTGAAACTGAAAACTTATATACACTGCAACTTTGATTTATTTTATTTTTGAAGGAAATAAATACTTTTGTAGACTTTAAAGCTTGCAGTTGCTGGAATACCGCAAAGAGTGAATTAAAATTCCGTTTTTTCAGTAATTTCAGTATTTTTTTTTATCGATGAGATAACAATAATACATTTACGAACGATTTTTTTTTTTAAGGCTTTATTGCCTCCTACCCCCGATAATTTATTTAAAATATTTGGGTCAAGTAGGGGAAATCAATTCCGTTGTACATAGGTATGCATGTAATTTCGTTCAACGACTTTCCACTTTTGCCACCCTTCACCCCTTCAACCGCTCCTCCACCGCAATCGCGTCCAATCAGTATTTTCGCAAACAGTATATACCTACACCATCAGCGGCAGCCTATTTCTCCGAGTAGCCCTCATCCCCACCACGACTCTCAAGTTCCCATTGAAATCCCACTGCTCTGAAACCCCTTGAACCGGGTTTCTGACACGTGCACACTCGGGTTAAAAACCTTACCGATCACGTCGACCGTGGTCGTCCTTTTGGCAGAATGTCCGTGCTTGTTGTTAGCCACGCACGTGTAAGATCCCGAGTCCACGCCCTTCTGCACGGACATCACGGTGAGCACTCCCAGCTGTAAGTCGGTCTTCTGCCTCAAGTCTTCTGGCAACTCTTTACCATCTATACCGAGACCGTCATGTTATTATAACCGTGTTCACGTAGCTGTTGTAATGTGTATACGCACCTTTTTCCCATCGGATCTCGTTGATGGGATATCCAGCCACTGGACATTTTATTCGCATGTTCTCTCCGGCCACCGCTGTGATCTTATTCATTGGCCTCACGTACGGGTCACCTGGTCAGAAATCAGAAACGGAATCAAATAACGGATCCGGTCGTTTTATATCTTATGAAACACGAAGTTTGTTGTACTTTATTTGCGCAATAGACATTGACTTTTTCCTGCGACGTGTTTATTACATTTTATAATAGAGAAATTTACTGAAGAATTTTTCTCAACGACTGTCATCTAACCCTATGTGCGTTAAGTTATTTATGTAAATGTTAATTTTTAATGACATGAAAATTGCATTTTATTTGTTCTAGAAAAAAAGTTTTAATCTTACTGTTGGATTACCATAACAAATTACAACAAAACGTGTAAATTATTAATGATAATATTTTTTCAATGCTTTGCAAAGCCGACGTTTATTTTTTATGTAAACTTATAATTTAGTTTGAAAGAAAACTACTTATATAAAAAAAAAAAAATCATATTTTCTTGAATAATTTTTATTTCTAGAGGAATGAACAGTGATTTTAAATTAATATTTAAAATATAGGCAAGCATAGCAAACACATTATATTATGATGGTTTTTTTAATATAAATGATATGAATATTTTATTGAGTTGTAAGAACTTGATGTATTTGTGTTGCTTCGTTTTTGCTTTTTTAATAGTACTTAATAGTACTTTAATAACAGGAGGTATATTCATATTAATGATACGATTTGCAGATGATATAATTTTGCTCACCACATTTGAAAGCGATCTACTATCAGCACTTAGTGAAATGGACAACATATTTCTTAAGTTCAAATTAAATATAAATACGGAGAAAACAAAAGTAATGATATGTAGTAAACAAAATGAGCCAAACATTAATACATCCCTAAAAGGGAACAGAATAGAACAAATAAATCAATTTAAATATTTGGGAAGCATAATACGAGTAGATAATGAGGGAAGGTCAAAAAATAAAATAAAAAGTAGAATAGTTCAAGAAAAAAAGGCATTTATACTCAAGGGTAAATTACTAACATCAAAATATTCAGATCTAAGAACGAGAAAATGTCTAATTCAAACATACGTATGAAGTACAACATTATATGGTTGTGAAACATGGACGTTAAACAAAAAAGATGAAACCACTATAGAAGCTTTTGAAATGTGGTTTTGGCGTAAAATAGAGAAAATAAAATGGACAGAAATGAGGACAAATGAAGAAGTGTTAGATTTGGTCAAAGAGAAAAGAACATTGCTAAATAATTTAAGATCAAGACGATGGCACATGATAGGTCATACGTTAAGACATAATGAAGAAATCCATAGCCTCATACTGGAAGGTATGATAGAGGGGAAACACAGAAGAGGAAGGCCAAGACCGTGTTATATAAACCAAGTAATCAAAGATGCAAGAGTCAATTCATACAAACAACTCAAAAATAAAGCACAAGACAGAGAATCATAGAGAGAACATTTATTGTAGACCAATCTACGGATTGAATACTAAAAAAAAAATATAGTATTGAGTTATTAGTCATACAATTATATTTCGTGTTAAAATAGTAAAGCAACTGTTCACTTCATATTTAAATTAAAACAATTAAATATATTGCAGGTATCCATTTAAATAATTAATGTAATTAAAAAAAAAAAAAAATACCATAAATATTAAGCCTGGCGGAGTGTGAAGAAGTTCCCGCTCGGTTATTGGCTGTACATGTGTATTCACCTCCATCTTCTACCGACACTTGTGAAATATTCAAATGACTAACGATATCACCATGCAACGTGACATATTGTCCAATCAAATACCTGACAAAAAAATAAAATTATTAAATCGATTATAATAATATGTTTACTAATGGAAACACATTATTTTAAAAAAATAATATTCTATACGTTATGTAGACAGACTGAAAAGTAGTGTTAGAATTAAAAGTATAAGGATTGAATATTCTATTTTACCAATTTAAAATGATTCTTTTAGATATTTGATTTGATACATTAGAATAAATGTATGTATTATCATAAAACTGTTCTTTACTTTTTTGAAATTGTGAATGTATTTAATACACAATGGAAGTTAGTGATGATTAAGGACCAGTGATAGGACTTATCTAGATAGATTTTTTTTTTATCTTTTATCTTATCTAGATTAATAATGCTATGTTACCTAATTACTTATCTAGATAATTGTCTGCATTCTTGCCAAGATTAGAGTTATTTTTATTCTTGTATGGAGACGAATCTAATAAATCAGAGATCATCAAAATCGGTCCAGCCGTTCTTGAATTATAAATTCTGTAAAAAACCTGACTTTCTTTTATACATATAGATTTTGTATTCATAATCATAATTCGTGTATTATTAATAAGTAATTATTATTTATTGGTATGTAATTTTGTTTGTATTTTCATGCCGGGAAAATATTTTTGGTATTTTTAAACTTAATTTCTTATTTTTCCATAGAAGTTCCAAATATAGTAGGTATTTGATTTTAGTATACACACGTAACTCATACGCTGAATAGTCATTTCTTCACTCTTGGAACCCGTTAAGTCGTAACTACTTATAAAATAATGAAAATCATCAAATTAATATTATACGAAAAACAATATTGCTAACGTAAAATATTTTTTTATCTATTCTGTATTCATCCTGATACGTACAGAGCATTTTTGATTTTTTTGTGTAACATTTTAGTGATTAACTGTCATTAAATATTGTACATATTGTACCATCGATTAAACGGATTAGCATTGTTTAATTGCACCCTAAAATAATTATAAAACCTGAAGAAGTAGTTGATGCATATGCTAATAAATACCCCAGACGTCTTCAGTTATTGTAATTACAAAAATTATATTTAAAAATATGTTTTATTATAAATTTGTGTAATAAAATGTTATGTTTCTATCAAATACTTGTATTTTGATTATTTAATTATGAACAATGACAGTTTTTTGAGATGGAAAATTTATGACTATGTATACTTTGAACTTTTTGTTTGTGCCCCCCTCCCTCCCACCATAAGACATTTTTAAATGTGCCGCTGATTATAATTGCATCTTCATATATATTATTAGAATATGAAATATTGACCAAAAAATAACATTTTATTTTTATCTATTATCTTTATTTAGATGAATTTGGACATATTATCTTTCATCTTTATCTAGATAAATTTTGCATTATCTATTCCCAACACTGTTCCCAACGTGAAACTATAAATGCAACAGGTAGATATTATCAACATTATTAAGGAAAATTACGAACCGTCCTTTGTAAATAAATACAAGTTACATTTCTAAATTTTAAATAAGGCTCAAGGGGATTCTGAACATATTATCAGAATTGATTTAGAGAGCTTCGAGGTTACATAATTTTTAAAATATTTGTAGATATTTGTAGATTTTAACTTGTATTAAAAAAAAAATGTTTAAAAAGTTTTCTAAATACGCTTTCAGAATTGAGATAAAGATTTTAGTTTTGGAAAAAAAAACGTTCTTCTTGAATATACGATTAAAAGGTTTTCAAATTATGAAGTAAAATATATCTCATTTTTGTTGTGTAATATGTGTTTGGAAAATCATCTTTTATAATATCTTATTTATAAACTTACGTTGGATAGATGTTCCATCTTAATTTCAATTCCTAATGCGATTTATTTATTTTTCAAAAATGATAACGAATAAAAATAGTGGAATTTTATTGCGTGCACTATTTTTGTTGATTTACAAAACTTAATATAAAATTGTATTTGAAATTCTATTTACCAACTCTTTTTATTTTTCATGTTATTAGGTGAAATTCTACGTAGAGTTACATTTATCTCATATCTAACGAATGAGTATTCACGTGTGAATGTTTAAACAGAATGCCACGAGAACTGCCTTTTTAGCAGTGAATTCGGTCGGAAAAGAATCTTTAGCTATCGGATTTTTGGTCTGATATTTTCTTTGAAGTCAATTTTTTTATTTTTATTTTCTTACTTTAATATAGTAAAAATAGAATTCTTCAATTATTAAAATTATTTTACAGTTCTTAATGGTAATCGTTGCTGTAGTTTTAGTTTTATGACGTAAAAGGTTCGTTGTTGAAAGTCTTCAGGTGGATATTGTGTAAATATAAACATTACATCCATAGTTCACCAATGATTATTTGATACTAATTAATATTGATTTAATTTGCCGTGGACGACTTCAGTCTTGATTTTTCGTTCATTATACTATGTATAGTTTACATAATTTATGTATGCATTTATGAAATATGTTTTTTTTAATTTTTTCTTGAAAAATAATTTAATTTTATTATTTATAGTATGTTGTTAAGATCATTACCTATTTATTTGTAAATTTTAATAAACCCATTGCTAATTATTTAATTATTATTATATGACATGATGTAAATCGAATAATGTGTTTAAAGATGTTTACCTTTTTTTTTTTGATAGAGTTAGGGTATATATTATAGTGACATATTAAGGGGAGGGGTATGCATAAAAGTAAGAATTACCTAAAAGCCTTAAAAAGGTCAACTTTCATCATATCGATTATAGCTACAGTATACTAGAGATGAAACAAATTAAGGGATAAAACATTGACAGGACATTCATAAGTATACCGCTACTGATGTACACACATTATTAAGACTGAAAGATATTATTATGTGTAGATATATCTCTGGATAAAGTTGTCATAGTATAATTTACTTTTTTAACAGGTTAAATACACGAAATATCAAAAGCGTGGTCACCAAAGCATAATGTAAATACTATATAAACACATTTTTTTTAAGTATTGTTAACCTAGGTCTTTTGCTGTCTGAATACCTATTGATTCGTTTTTTTAAATGGACAGTCAAATAATGTTTTAAATTTTTTTATCCCGTATATTTCGTTGTCAATGAGTTTTTTAAGCTAATATTATTTAAATTATGAATAGTTCATGCAGAGCATCAAGTGTCATAAAACACAGTTATGATTAGAAGAGGTTAGCACTCGATTATAGATTTAAATTTACACTTTTACACACACACACACACACACACACACACACACACACACACACACAAAGACAATATAATATATTATGTTGGTGTAGGTACAATGGTGTTTGGTAAGATACAACTCATATTACCTTACTACTATAGTATCATATATGTTTGGTGAAATAATTTACCTAGGATGATCTGGTAATTTAAACCCATCCAGAGACCAAGCCATCGACGGTGTAGGATTTCCAGACGCACTGCACTTTAAAGATACGGTTGGACCCGGTTGCAATGTTTGCTCAATGAACGTGTACTCCATAATCGGTGGAGCATCTGTGGAAAACATTTATCGTGTATTTAAATCGAAACGAAAAAAAAAATATTTAGATTAATTTTCAGCGAAATAATGTATACAATATATATTTAAAAATAAAAATAAAACTTAAAAAACTATTAAAATTAAACGTTAGTATTTTTCTTAAAACTCTAAGGAGCGTGGATTTTAAAAATTTCAAAATCATTTTACGAGAACGCATTAACCGACCAAGAAAATCAGTTATTAGGACTAAAAAATCATCTGGTGAACAAATATACAATATAATAGTGTCGGTTAATGCGATCATGTAAAATTATTTTTAAATTTTTAAATTTCATGCTCTGCAGAGTTTTGAGAAAAATATTAACGTTTAGTCGTAATAGTTTTTAAATTTTATTTTCTTCCAAACCGCATTATAATACATTTTTAATTTTATTATCCAGAATGGAATATTTGTCTTAAAACGGCGATACATACAAATCCAACATCAAACCAGTATACCGTTGATAATTTATAATAAAATGTATTATGTATTATGTATTTAAAGCTTTAGTTATTCCGTAGAATGTCCATGTTCCACTTCATTTATTTAAGCGTTAAGCTTATACGAATACATAATAAGTTACTGGTTCGATGTACAATTTTTATATACAAACGAATCATTTTGCTCCCATATTTTTACGTCATATTTTAACTTTAACTATCATGCCAAATTTGTTAGATTACGTTGTATTTTTTATTAAAATACGCATACATAGTTTTGAGGTTAAATTATGTTCATAAATGTTTGCGAATTGTTAAGAAATACAGTCCACGTGAGAACAAACTTATAAGGCTTTTTACCTACACGATGAATAAGCAAAACTTTAGGCTTGACTTTAAAATTTAATAATGACTGCTGAACTCCGACTGAAGTCTTTAATGTTATAATTCTCTATGGTGCATAGAATATGGTTATGAAATCATAGATTATTATTCGATTGCATCTGAACAAATTTTATTGTCAATCGTATGGAACTCTGAAAGCAAAAGTCTATAGAATATTTTAATAAAATATTTGTTATCGTGGTTTTGCCATTTTGTAACGTTTTAATTAATATTTTCATCATTATTCGTTTTCGATTAATAATTGAAAAACAAAAGGTGACGAAGGAAGAAGGAGAGAAATATATGTATACGAAACTATAAAAGAGTAATTGATTAACAAACAACCAAAATGAAAATAATATATGAAACACGATCAAACGTCCTAAATATTTACAAGAGATTGGAGAATTAGTATATTATCGTAATAGCCGTTGCACGTGTAATCAAATTGCGTTCTGAAGATTTCATATTATATACGTTATCGTCACTTAACGCGAAATGATCAACGCCCGCCGAATAAACGTTTTCAATCTCATAGCATCGTGGTCGCAATAGATTTGATTTTGTATAGGGATAGGAGGCGGAAGTTATAGGTGGATACCCCACCTCGGGCTCGAAACGTTTTCAAATGGAGTTTCTATTTTATCGGTCATAAATCATAATTTTTATTATATCCACATGTACGAGTAAAGGAACGAAACGCTTTGATGGTTAATCTAATCGGTATTGCGAATATAACATGTGATGTTTTATAGTTGACTAAAATGGCATTCCGCTTTAACGAAAAGTTGGATATTAATCAATATTTATGTAGAATTAAGCTGTACTGAAATATTTATAATGGTAAAATAAAATTCATTATCGTTCCGTTTCTACGTGCAAGGCGTTCTAGACTTATTTTTAATGCTCACAACGATTATGATTATTTGAGGGGTTCGGGGATACGGCTATCTAAAAATTGTTTTTGCTACCCCTCTTCCTTAATGCATGATATTACATAATAATGTACTTGAAATGATTTACCCGTAAATTGTTTTTTTTTTTTTTTACGTTTCTTTGGTTGGAAACGATATAGGGGAAAAAAAATAATATAAAAACGCCGACGTGCACACGAACTTTTATTCCTCGTGATCGAGTCGAGAAGTAGAGGAAGTTGTAGGAAGGAAAATAAAAGATTAAAAAATTCCACTGGTGGTGGACATAATATATATATATATATACCTCTACGTCGTGTATATAACGTAGACCGGTGGCCGTTCAGAAGATCCGCGTGTACAGGGCGTTCGGAAAAATTCGTGGTTAGTGGCTGGTGGCTTTTTGTACGCATTTTATGGTTCGACGTTGTGTGCTGAAAAAAATTTCGAATTGGAACCGTTCGCGAAAATAACATCTACGGCCGTCGTCCCGCGTGCACGTCCTAACCTTAGGGCATTTTCCACCACCCATCTCAAACCCCTACACTCTACCATCCCGTCACTTCGCTATGTTTCCGGGACCACAAGTCGACCGAGCTGCATTCATGCACGCCTGCAGGCGGGGGAGCAAAATGGGCCATTGCATCTACTGTTTCAAAACTGTTGTTAATTTAATACCACGTATATTAATTATAACATAATTTTATCGGGATCCATATACGAAGTTTAGTAAAATCTATTATATTTTTAGATAATCTAAAATGTATGATCTTGAACGTATTCATAGGTTTACAATGTTTACACATGACTGCGCGTATCCACTTAAAAGTATAAATTTTTCCGAGTACCACGATTTCTATGGTATTTGATTTTGTTCTCATCTATTTTTAGGAACACGTTGTTTCGGACCTTAAAATTTTAATTTTTCTCCGGATGGGATTTTATTCTGAGGGCACGCTTGGCTGCATTCACGATTCCGGATCGACCTGTATACGGTGCGCATTTTGTCATTCGACGTTTTGGCGCGCGCGCGTAATGTAACGTAATAGTGTTCGCTCACCGCCCAATCGCACGGTGGCCGCACTCTGCGCCGTCTCCCCGTCGCCCCTGCGCACCAGACACTGGTAGATGCCGCAATCGGACCGGCTGACCGACACCAGTCGCAGCACGTCCCGTTGCGCCCTGCCAGCCATCACTCTGCCATCCTTGTACCACGTGATCGAATGCGGCCCGTCACTGGACGAAGATGTCATACACCGCAGTTCCGTCTGCCCGTTGAGGCTGACCGTCGCCGACGTCGGGTTGATCTGCGGAACACGTCAACGGTTAACAAAAGATAACACACCGGTACTGGTCGACCCCGTTCGCAACAACGTGGTACGTACCGCAACCGTTGAATAACAAGAAACCCATTTCAACCGGTCAAAAACGATAAGTCTAACCCCGTCGGCTAGATACCATAGGGATATCGCGACGGAAGATGTTAACTTATTTAATACAATTGCAAAATATATGCTTAATGCGTTGGCAACATTTTACCCTATATCAAAAACTACCCTAACGATTATTAACAGTTGCACGGTTATCGGGTTTGACACTTTTTCGAGTAGAAAAAAAAATTACTAAATATTTTCGTTATTCAATTTATAATTTAATAAATAAATACTTTTGAGTTGATCAACTAAAAACGAATGATTCAGGACCTTAAATCACATCAATCGGTAGACCGTTATTTATTGCATCCATGGTTAATCAATACTGCTTATATATATACTCGTATATGTATATATATATATATATATATATATATACAGTGATGCATTAATTAGTGTTATTTTATCATTTAACATAAGAAGCTATTGTTTACTCTTTCTGTATTTGGTCATGGAAATTTTCTATACACCGCGAACAATGTTAAAAATCGACCAGCACACACACTCTCAACATTTAGATAACTGAAGGATTACCGTGGTTGATAAAAATAAGGAAGACGAAATACATAGTAATTAGAAATCCATGTTGACGATATCGTGTTACATTTAAATCTGTTGATCCGGTGAATTAAATTTGGGGGATCAATTTTTTTTTACGCAAACGTGACTTTTTGTCGAGGTTATAGGATACAGGTGTTAAAAATGACCGAAGACTAAATAAAAAAGACTAAAATGTATAATAAACATAGTTTAAATCTTAAATTGTTTCATTTTCTGTAAAAATTGATCAATAAAGATATTTGGCTGGTTGTGCAAATAATATTTTATACTTCTTTTTTGTTAGTTTCATGTAATATTGTTGAATAACATTTTCGATAAAAATAAACCCTTTACAATTTTTATACATTTATATGCATATAAAAAGAATCTTACAATGATTGATAATCGTATAACCTAATAAAATACAGATATAAATTAAACGTATTGTCTTCAAGAAATATAATTTATAATCAATTGTTATTATTTTCACATGTAAATGTTTTGCACTTTTTTTCGAATAAAATATTTTATGTAAGAAGTTTGTTTTATATGAGATAAGACGATGTAAAATTATAGAATAGTTGCACATCGTTATTATGGTAAGTTATTAATATTTGAAAAATCACGATTATTAAAATATCGAACAATGTTTTACAATGTTTTAGAATATTGGTCCTTGTCAGAACTGCGTATTGAACAGTATGCTTTATTTATTATAGTCCTCTGAATAATATTTCATGTTCATGACAAGATCCATTTTCTCGGTATAAACCGTTTTGTTAACATTTACATAGTGATTATATTCTCAACATTCACATTATTACGGATAATGGGTTTTATATAGCATAAAATCGAAGTAAATTTTAATTTTGTCTCTATTTCCTCTGGGAAAATCATCGTCAAGGGAATTTGCCATTGCTGTATCCAGGGCTGGGTAAGATACCTAAAAAAAGTATCTAAATATAAGATACAAGATACTTCGATATTTTTAAAGATACTAGATACATGATACAAGTAGCTGAAATACATATAAGATACAAGATACTTTATACATTTATTAATATTTATTTATTTATTTGTTTATTCATTTACATTAGGTACAATAAAAAAGAATATAAATACATTTATAAATTACAATGTTTATTTATTAACTATTAATGGTTTGAACGTTTAAAAAAGAATGATATGTAATATTATAGTAAAAGTTTTTTATATGTTATATCCCATGTTTTAAAATAAATTCCTGATTAAACTTTAAAGAGACTAATTTTAATTAATAATAATAAATAATTATATATATAATTAATAAATAATATAATTAATAATAAATAATTTTAATTTTCAATTCACATTTATTATTTCATTAAAATTTAGTATTGTATAGAATGTTCCATCTAAGGATTTTGAAATATTAACAATTACATTATTGTTACATTATTACATGTTTTTAATAATAGATACTTAAAATCAGCAGACACTACACAAATACCGCGTAGACAGAAAATATGAACCGATCATCGCACAATCACACAGTCTAAAATAAATGTTTAGTGCAATAAAATTAAGAAAACATTCTGCCGATAAACTAAATTTATGTAACTTACTGATTACAAAATGTTCTCATAATAAAGATTATATGTAATATATTACATATAATCTTAATTATGAGCAAATATTATGTATATTGATCATTTATCAAGTGAATGCCTTCGACGTAAAAAAATTTAATCTTAATTATTAGTAATTATTATTACATAATAATAGATTGTATTTAGTATCTTCAATCATAGAAAGATACTAGATACAAGTTAAAAAAGTATTTGAATCCACGATACCAGATACATTAAAATAATGTATCTCAATACAAGATACAAGATACAATTATATCTCTGATACGTATCTTAAATACTAGTATCTAAGATACTGTTCAGCTTTGGCTGTAACGGTAATTAAGAATTTGCATAAATAGAGTCGTAAGCCGAAATTCAGCAGCTTCTAATCCAAAAGTAATGATATATAAGGGGTTGTATTATAGGTAGGTATTATTCATTGTATAATTAATCCTTTGAAATTGTCTTTGTTGACATTATAAAAATTATAAAATCATAAAATTATACTATAAAGTAGGTGTTTTATAATACATATTTAATGTTATACGTATGAATCACAATGGGCTGCAATTTCGATATTTTCCAAAATTACTTTGTATTATTTTAGCGTATTATGTATTATGTATTTGTTATCGATCAGAACTTTTCATTTCCAGTCATAATGACATTTTTATTTCTTCTAGTTGTCTGCTCACAGTTTCAAATATTGTCAATTTAAGATTAAGTATTACGGTATCATGGTTATCATACACCAAGGCGTGACATGAGAAATTTAATTTCAATAAGTTTCTGGCGTCCTGCCATACTGGAGAATATTTCAATCTTGAAACATGCTCCATTAAGGGGAGGGGTGAGAGAGTATGAGAGGGAGAAAGAGAGAGTTAATTTCCTGAAGGGTCACTTCCTTGTGCTATATCCTGATACCTATCACCATTTTGTCTTCAGTCATCAGCAACTTTTTTTTACATAGTCATCCCATTTGATTTTTACCACTTCGGATAATACACATATTACTCTTTCGCGAATAAAACATTTTGTTATTATTAAACTAACGAATGAAAAAAAAACAATATTATTACTATTTTCATAGGTAGAGAAAAATATTTCATGTGCTCGACCATATAAACAGACAATTTTTTAAACAATAACTCAGATTAGCCATAAAAGAGTGAGCATAACGCGTATGTATACGCAATATTCAGTATGCAATTTATAGTTGGTGTCATGTACGTTCTAAAGACAGGAATAAAACTCGAGGGACATGGGAATCGGAAACGACAGTCCGACACTGCAGGGCGGTTTCGAGGGATGTTATGACCATACTACATGACACACTATTCGTCTCGTATATTTGTTATTATGTACACAGTAAACGCACAAAGTGCGTTCCTAAAATCATGCATTAGAATCATAATAATAATATTTTATCATCCGGCATAAGGCAATATGTGCTAGGCGCCATTTTGAGGCCAAGTGACTTGATGGTACACAACGGTACAACTGCCAGTCGAAGCATTCGTTCATATAAAAGCCAATGTTCTTTTCGGCGAAGTAATGTGATACTTAACTTTACTTAAAAAAGTAAAATGATATGATATATATATATGTGATATTTAACTTATCATTTTCGATTCAAGTGACATTAATGAAAATCGTATTGAGTCAAGTAACCTAGCCCTTGATCCCTACTTTTATAGTTTATAACCTTTTAAAGTGCAGATTATACGAATTACATTTATTGAGATAATACTTTTTACACATAATTACTATGATTTAACCTTTGTTCGTATGTTATACTTATTTTTACAATAATCACATTCGATCAATTACATTTATGAATAGTTTAATATTGAAACTAATTTATTAAAAAATGTATTAATAAAAAAAATGTATTTTATTATGTTTTAAATGGTATGAGTACATACGCGACTACGCTATTTCAATTACATTTAAAGTTTTTTGAGTTGTTCAATTTTTTTTCGAATTTTTTCGAACTTTTTCCTTATTTTCCATTGAGACAACCTATATAATGATTGGATTAAAAAATGGCAAATAATGTATGATAAATAAAATATGATCGAGTTGGATGACGATCTTATGCTATCCGTTATTTAGTCAATAGTTAAAAGTTAAATTAAATGAATTATCATTAACAATTAATTCAGAGAACGATTTACATAGTTGTAATTGACTATAGTTAGAATACTTAGTTATATAGAATACAGTTGGAATAATAAAGCAAAAGTTAACTATAGTTAAATAAGTTAGTAGTGATCATCAAATTAATTGTGATGATAAGCAAAGTTGAAATAAATAATCATTTTAACCTAGTAATTTAGTGTAAAATTTATTTAGTAGTATTCAATTGAAATAAAAAATTACTTAGTATAGGTTAGTAATGCATTTTCCGCAAAGAAAGAGTCATACTTACTCTTGGCCACCTCTATGGTATTTCATTTAATGTGTCATGCGGTGTCGGTTGAAAAATTAGATTAATGCTCACGAATTGTAATAACACGATAGAATGGAACGATTAGTTGCATTAGACATTGGTTTTATCCATTAACGATTATTTTAAATTTTGTAGTTGGTGCGGATATAGTTATGATTTTTTTTCTTCTAATTTTTGTTCCCGTACACGGATCCGCCATTATATATCGTATTACCGTAATTATTATATGTACAGTGTACATACAGTCTGCCGTGGTGGTTGAAAAATGAATC